TGCCTTCACTCTGACAAACATTAAGTTTCACTTCAGGAACGTGACGTGGAAGCACCGCCTCTTACAGCAGCTCTGTTTGTGAGGGTGTGTTTCCTCCTTCAGGGGTTAGACATGATTATAGTTACAGACATTTGGAGCAGGATAAGTTTAACCTATAGGAATATGTTTTCCTTGCTTTATCTTCTTTTGTCTGTTGTGTGAGTTTATTGCAGCTACCACAAAAAAAAAGGTCAATCCCACACCAACATATATCTTAGGGTCAGCAAAGAACAGCAATTAACTTCAGTCCTCCACAGCTCTGCAACTATTTGACTGTCAGTTCACAGTCCAGCTCACTGTTTGTCCTGTAATGTTCAAAATGTCTCATGTAAATCCTGTATTTTCTTCTTGTTGCTAAATCAGAGGAGGAAGTTGAAACTCTCCTCCCTCTAAATGGAGCTGTTATCATCTCTGGTGGTCACAGGAGGGAATCACATCTGACTCATCTCAGAGAAGAACACACTAGTTTCAAAATAAAACGCTTCAGCATTACATTAATGAGCTTCATAATAACAGCGGTGTATCCAAAGATTATCGCCAGATGATCAGAATCAGCTTTATCAGCCAAGTATGTGTAGGTAGGCAAGACATCTGACTCGGATTTATTGCAGCTCTCAATGTACACACAGACTTATCATTGATTAATCTGCTGATTATTTTCTCAAAAAAAAAAAAGTATGATTCACTTTATCTATTTAGCATCAGAAACAATGAATATAATCTTTTACAATGTCCTCGAATTTAGGGTGACATCTTCAGATATTTTGTTTTGTTCATTTACCAGTAAAAAAAACCAAGATATTCCATTTACAAAGATATAAAACTGAGAAAAGCAGCATCTTCTCAGATTGGAGAAGCTGAATCTTTTGCTCTTTTGAAAAAAAAAAAAAAATGATTCAAACAATTTATCATCAAGAGTTGCTCATAAACGTTATGTCCATCGAATAATTGATTATTTGACTAATAAGTCCATCTCTTCAACAGTAATTGTTAAAAATATGCAAGCAGAAGTTTTTAATGTTTGCACGTAAATTGTTAATCAGAAAAGTAATTTGTATCTGTAAGTGTCATAAAAACAAGTATAAAATGAAAATACTCAAGTAAAGGTGGAGTAGGCCTACTTCTACAAGGCTACTTCATTCTCATTGGTCTCATATATGTACTAATTATTTACACAAAATCGATATAGAGCTAAAAACAAAAAGCTGGACAAAGTTACAACATAAACATTTAACTACTTTGTAGAAATAGAAATACATGTGTAAAAAAGTAGACAGTATATACACCTATATAGCCTATAAGATAATCCTTTATTAGTCCCGCAGTGGTGAAATTAACAAGATTACAGCAGCATAGTGGAGCATGTATATATGGAATAGTGCAAACAAGAGACATAGTAAAAACAAGATCAAAACAAGTATTATAAATAAGTAATAAACAGTAAAGAATATTAACTAAGTAAAAAAGTAAAAAATCCACACTAACTAGAATATAACTATAACTAAAAATATTATATATACAGACAGAATAATTTTTATTGCACAGATATATAAAACATTAATGCCATTTGTAAACAGTAAGACAACACTTGAGTAAATCTACCCATATATATATCGTTTTACACTGTCATGAAGTGTTTTGGGAAACCATAAATTGTATTTGAACTGAGGATTTTAACCAGCACACATTTATCACAAATGAGTCTGCGTTTTATTTTGAAAAGTGAAGCCGGAAGTAAGATACACATTTGTTTTGCTAGCTAACTTGATGCTAAATAAGGAAGCTGGTGAACAGAAACTTCTCCAATTATGTACTGTCTTAAATCAATGACCCCGGTTTTGTCAGGGCAGTTAGCAGTCTAAATGTCTGCGTGAGGGTCTTCAGACACTCACTTCACCGACCCACTCTGATTTATTTGCGGTCACTGCGGATGCTAACTTCGGTTAGCCTGAAGCTAACGTCACCGTAGCTCCTAACTGAGCTGACAGAAAGAAAGTGCTACTGATTCTTGCTTGTTTTTTTATGTATTCCCCCCAACTGGTGCACCGCCGCCAGCACAGTCAGTACGTGATGTGGAAAGTAACTTTACAAGCGTTCGGTGTTTTGCTGTTGGCCTGGTTCTTCTTCGGGAACTCTGTTCTCGGTTGGTTTCAGCAAAACAACGTAAAACCCCAAACGCAGCAGAGCGGAGCCTCGTCGGACAGCCAGGACCAGAGCTGCTTCTGCCACGTAAGTGTAACATTAACCGAGGAGTGCTTGTGCGGAACCTTTATATTCAAAGCGACGTTGTTACGGTTTTCATAATGTTATGTTCAGCTTTTAAAACATGGCAATTACGACACGACAACAACTAGCATTCAAGGAAATCTTCTAGCATTTTCTACTGTCGACTTAAAGTGACGTCACCGTGTTTGTGTGTGACGCTAGGTAGCAGCGACACTCTATTGTCGCTGTGTTTGAAAGTCACAGTAATACTGTATTTAGGCTTCTGTATATTTATATATATATATATATATATATATATATATATATATATATAACATTACATTGTCTTCATATTAATATTTACTCAAATTGAAGCTTTTCATAAAAATAAATATTGACGACGATTCAAAAAATAAAATTGTAATATTCAGAATCAAACGTCTTGAACTCAAGACACAGACGATTATTTTTCAGCCAAACTGCTGTTATTTCCATTACTAAGTAGAACAGCGTGGTGTACCGCGATTGGCTGCTGCAGAGCTCCCGCCTCTTGCTCTCCCGTGGGAGTTGTAGTCTTTTGCGCCACACCCAACAATCGCTCCCAGCGGCCTCAGCCCTGGAAGAGGACTACAAACTGGGAGGCTCTGGCGTTGAGGGGCGGGGTTAAGTGCTTGACAGCTGATTGTTTGGAGGCGTGGCTTCTCGATCGAGTAGGACTGGAGTGGAGGTCTGAAATGACAGCTCAGCCCTCAGGCAGAGCTGCTGCCGCTGCTGTGACATCTGGGCGCCAAGTTCACTGAGAGGAAGTTTTAATTTGGAGTTGAAACACAGAAAACAGAAGTAGAGACGCAGAAAGATGCTGAGGGGGATTTGCCTCTTCCTGCCTTTCGTGGTGCTCGGTGGACAGCTGCACTCAGAGGTTTGGTTCATTGTGATGAAGTTTTGTACTTTACTGAGGCTTTCCAGCTGTTTGTGAACGGCAGAGGGGCACATGTCTGACTCACTGTAATACCAGAAAAAATAATTGATTTAAATTTCCATTAAAAATATCAGTAATATGAAGTTTACATTACGTACTTACTTTAACTAGGTGATGATGAAACGCTGACAAGGTCCTTTTTACACAGCGCTTCTGTTTCTGCCAAAAACCAAAAGAGACGCGTAGAGAAACGACGCTTTGAATGGACTTTGAATTACTACTCGGTAACACATGAGGTACTGTGTTGAATGCTGTTTTAACTTATTTACTTTAGAAACAATTGAAACAGTTGAAACAATTAGCCAGTTAATCAGCCCAAAAAAATACCAAAATAGGTCATTTTTAAAAGACCAAACAATCTGGGTTTAGATTATAAAATGCACTCAGTGTTTGTGTTTTGTATCCACTTAAGCCAGGTGTGTGCAGTGGATTCAGATTACAGGTAGAACAGAGTTAACTCATAAGCCAATCCAAAGCCTCCTCACCACACCCGGGTGGTGCTAACACCCCCCCCACCTTTAACGCCTTCCTCTGATTACTGAACTCATCGAGGCTCTCACATTTTACACTCTGGTCGTTCAGTTGCTCCTCAGGTCAAACACATTTGTCTGAGTTTAACATGTGTGCAGGTGGAGGTGCACCGTCCAGGTGGAGGTGTGAATGATGTATGCGTGGGTTCAGGTAACAGCGGTGGATGTATTATGTATGGACGAGCAGGCGGCGGCGGCGGCGGTTCGTCTGTCTGCTGGCCTCCTGCTGTTAAAGGGGAAGCGGAGCCTCAGCGGTGGAGCAGGTGGAGGCGTTAGTTTGAAGCAATGAATATATTAATACAACTTTATTTATACATCGCATTCATCTATCACAATATAGAATACAATCAGAAGACAACACGTAGGCTGAAGGCAATGAATTGTAATGACAATGCGTGTTGTAGGTGAGCTTAAATTCTAGTTGGAGGCAATTTAGAAAGTTATTTTATCTTTTCTGAAGTCATATTTCTACTGCATTTTTGTTTTTTTTTATATATTTTGACTACTTCAGAGCACTGCAGCAGCAATGTGATGTAGAAACATGTTGTGCTCCATAAAGTGATGACAAATTAAATACAAAATAATAATAATATCCTAATTAGGGCTGCAACTTACTATTATTTTCTTTATTGATTATTTTTAAATCTGTCATTTTACATAGAAAATGTCATAATTGCTCAGATGTGACGTCTCCACGTCTTGTTTTGTCCGAAACCCAAAAATATTAAGTTTACAATAATAAAAAAAACTTAGAAAAGCGGAACTTAATTCACCATTGAAGTGAATGTTTGACTGTTTTTGCTTGAAAAATAACAAACGATTAATCGATCATCAAAACAATTGTCGCCTTCAGTTAATTAAACTGAGAGAAAAACATAAATGATGCACATTCAGTATCTTATATACTATACACAGTATTGATTTATTCAACTGAATCTTAACTCTGAGTATCAATAACACAGAGGATTTATTTTAAAGGAACAAAGATATAACTCTGTAGAATACAGGTGAGTGAGAACATGTTCTGTGAAAATGTGACCAGTTATTAAAGTTGTTACTGGCGCATCTAAGTTTTAGTTTGTGCTTATTGTTCGGTGGTCTGTTGTGTTGTTTGAGAGAAGTTTAGTTTTAGAAGGCGTCGCCTCTCGGTCAGTAACAGCCGGTTTGTCTGCGCTCTGCTTCAGCTGACGGGCGTCCTGGACGACTGCTTCTGCGACGTGGAGAGCATCGACGTCTTCAACAACTTCAAGCTCTACCCTCGAATCAAGAGGCTGACGGAGAAAGACTACTTCAGATACTACAGGGTAGGAGCTGCACCGTCACTGCCGACACCATAGGACCCACTGTGGTATTAGTACCCAGCTGATGTAGTGTCCGAATTACTTTCCAGCACTTTAAATGATGAAAAGGGAAGAAAATCATATTTTATAATGTCAGAAATGGCCGAATTCTGGGGATAGTCATATTTTTACTGCACCATTTCCAGAGCGAACGGTTAATATTGTAATTATGTATTGTTTGTTTTTGTTTACTGTACTTTGGCTCACAGTGAGCAACTCATTTGCATTTTCCTCCCCTTTTATTCTCCCTGACTATGAGTAGAAGAAGTGTTGTTGTTTCCTGTAAACCTTTCCTATCGAGAAGAAGAACAACATCATCTGGATGACATACAACCTGTAGAACATCTGTAAAATCATCGTATTTCACAGTCAACTTTCCTTCAAAAACATGAAACATGTCTCTCCTTGGGTTGGCCTGACACAGATTAGTTAGGTAGAAACAATGACAGGTGTTAACAAGGAGGGGCTGTTGCCAGTTATTCAGGTTCATGCTGTTCTTAAACTCTGTGTGTGTGTGTGTGTGTGTGTGTGTGTGTGTGTGTGTGTGTGTGTGCGCGTGTGTGTGTGTGTACGTACGTCTGGAGATATCAGAGGTTATGTAATAAAAAAAAGAGAAGAAGAAGAACAGCAGTTTTACTTTTTAGTCCCATTTATCCGTTTGTTATGACGCTGTTACGGAACAGGAAGGACGACCAATGTGTTTATGAAGTATTGTGAAATACTTTACCAGTTGCAACAGTAGTTCATGAGCCAATACTGTGAGAGGAGGAGGTTTTACTTTAACTACAGTTTAACGACAGTGTTGAACTAGTATTACAGTTTGAGTTAGTTTGTTGTCAAGATCATCCCAGAGGTGTTTTTAAGCTGTTATTTGACTCATTTCGCTCTGTGAGAAGAATAAAAAGAGCTTTAAAGTTTAACTTCAGCAGAGATTCAGTTACTATCAGACCCGAATTCTTGGCATGAGTTTTAATAAATACAAGAAATACTATACCCTAAAAATGTATACTTTGTGCTTAATAATAAGCTACAATATCTTTGTGAACATATATTATTCCCATATAATATTTGTTGGCATTGAGCCCTCTGTGTGTAGGATTGTTAACGACTGACTCCAGAACGTTGTGAAGTGTAAACGTTCACCGATCACCAGCCTTCAAATGTTCACATCTAACGGCAGAATGCATCTCGAGCACATCATTGGAACAAAGAGAGTCCAAAGACGGGCTCGCAACAGCTGAGCTACCGGTCTGACATTACAGTGAGGCGATGTTTGTATCCCAAAAGAATATGAAAAACCGGACTCGCCCCGCTGCTGACTCTTTGAAACGTGAGCTGTGATGCCGAGTGCTGTGTCATCGTGTGAACCGTACAAACACCTGCTTACGTTAAACAGCAGCGTTAATCAGCTGCAGCTGAGTCCGTCGGCTGTCGTCATCGCTGTGAGGCTGGAGTAACTTCCAGTTCATCGCTTCAGCGTTTTTTACGCCGTGTTTAAAACCACAGCTCCGGGTTTCATCGGACATTAAATGTGCTTCTCCGTCCTGTGAGAGGACGAACGACTCTGATGTCTCCCATGAAGTAACTTCATCCTCACTGCGTTGTTACTAGCTCATGATTATTTTAATTGTGGATTAATCTGCTGATCTGTTTTAGTTTGTAAACAATTTTTTTAATAGTGCAATTTGTCCAACCAACTGTCTAAACCCCAGTTATTCAAAATACATGAAAATGATTGCAATAACTAAAAAGGAAAAGCAGCGAAGCTGGAAGCATTAAATGTTTTTACATGAATAATAACTAAACGGGTTAATTCATTAATGGACTAATTGTTTCAGCTGTGCTTGTGTTGGGTACTTTAATTTACAACAAAATATCATGTTTCATAAACTCTAAATAAAGTAAAGCTGTCAAATATAAATAGTGGAGTCAAAATATACAATAGCATGAAATGGAAATACTCCAATAAACTACAAGTACCCCAAGTTTCTCCTTAAGTGTAGTAAATGAATGTAGTCCTACTTGCTTAGAGAAAGGTCACAATAATACTTTGAGTAGTAATGAGATGAAGTTGGTTTAGTTGAACCCAACATTAAAGTAATAATCTAATAATAATATATATAATCTAATCTTCTGCAGGTGAACTTGAAGCGACCTTGTCCCTTCTGGGCCGAGGATGCACATTGTGCCATCAAAGACTGCCATGTGGAGCCCTGTCCAGAGGTGAGAGGTCAACCACACACACACACACACACACGCCTCATATTAATATTAATAATAATGCAGTATATCTTAATTACACAGCACTTCTCTGGATACTCAAAGATGCCTTACATGACACATTATATAACCTGTAAAAAAATACAATAGTTTATTTATGGAGCACTTTTCAAACAAGAAGCACCTGAAAATGATTGAATGAAGACAACGATACACAGGTTGTAGTCTGTTAGTACTTTTATATTTGGTTATTAATAGTGAATTCAATAGGTTCATTTGTTTATCTGTTTGCATGAAGCGGTCTCATATTGTTGTTTTGTCTCTGTGGTGTCTCACAGAGTAAGATCCCGGTGGGCATCAAGTCTGGGAACTACAACAAGGTGAGAACGTAGAAGATGAATGTTACTGAAGACTAACTGTCATACAGGCATTACGTAATACCCACAATCCCTTGTGTTATGTAATACTGCCACCGTTTGATTGACCTCAGATGATAATCTCATAATATATATGTACATCTTAATACACAATTCAACTGATTGTCATAACGTGTTAGAGTTCCAGTGCCGATATGAAATACATATTTTCTAGATGACTTTGTTCTGCTAAATTCGGCGTCATGTTTCGCTGAATATTAAATCAGCAGTTATAAAAATGTGAAATCTGCGTCGTTAAGGCAGACGAGCTTTATCTGAGAAATGTTTATGGAGCTGAAATCATCACCAAGTTATGTTAAATCGCTGAATTAGTTCGTGTCTGTTTATGAGTCGCACAAAATCCTGAGTTATCTTTTAGACGACATATTGGGGACTATTTTCAGCGGCGGATTAATCCACATTGGTGCTCTGATCAGTATTGGTGGCAGCAGGACGGTGTGAGTGAAAATATACGACAGTATGTTCATGATGTGTTTCTTTGATACACACAATACTTGTTTTAAAGTGTAGAACATCACCCGATGAACCAGACGGACTTTATACCTTTTTCATCTCTGGAAAACAAACTCTGTTTAGTGGAGTTTAGGACCAGCTGTGTTTGCTCCAGCACTTTCTGTCTCATTAGCTGATTCAGTAAACACACACACACACACACCGAGTGTTTGCCGGCTCTTGGCTGGCGGCCTGATGTTTGTCTTGCGATGACCCAGAAGTGTTTGGACATCTGCACACGTCTCAGTCGAGGTCGAACGTGTCTCACTGACCGTCGGCCGGAAAACTATTACGGTCCGTGGGACGGAAGCACATGACTGTGTGCCACCTCAGCAGTGTGTGAGGAAAGTCTTCAGGAGAGAATGAATCCTGACCAACACATCTGGAACTCGGCTTTCAGCGATACGTCACCTTAAATCTATATTTTGCGTATTAAACAAGTGACCTGTGTGCCTTTTACTGACAGAAGCTCCAGTCCGCACACTCCACACACACTCTGAATGAGCGTTTGTGTTGATGCTAACATAACAAAAGACAGGAAGAGATTAAACCATCAGGTTATCAGATATCGGATCAATTCTGCCGTTTCAGACGGTTCACATCTTGTTTGGCTGCTTTTGCTCAGACACCATTTACAGAAGAAACCACACAATCTACCCTCACAAATGTTCATAAGCAGTGAAACAAACCGATTGCTCATTTCAGTTCAATGTGTGGTGAAGCTCATGGTGGCTAATGTTAGCAAACCTTCGGTAGCAGGTAGCTGTGGCTTGATATTGAACAGATATTGAACATTGATGAGAGTGGTATCGATCCTCTCTTCTAACTCTCTGCAAGAAAAGCAAACATCTGTATTTCCCAAAATCAAAAACCTCCCATAATGATTATGGACCCACAGCCTCAAATGTTGGTTTTTACGGAAAAACACAGCTTTCCCAACAGCTGCTCTAAACACACAACGCTCAGAGGTGATGTCACAATGCAAACACAGCGTCAAACAGAAGGCCCTCCCCCCCCCCCCAGGCATGGACGTCCACAGCAGGAACAGACAGAGTTGTGTTTATCAGACACAAAATAAAGTATCTCCATCTATTTTTATAATCTTAAAGAAATGGCAGAATGTGCCTCTCAAATACCATATTAAATTATTATTATGTCTTTGGGTTTTGGACTGACACAAGACATTTAAACAGCTTGGGCTTTGAGAAAGTGGGACATTTTTCACTATTGTCTGACATACAGTCCAACGTTTAATCTAGATAATAATCTGCAGATTACGAGACAATGAAAATAATTGTAGCCCTAAAACACGCGCGTTGACAAGTGTTCCTCTATCTAACGGCCTCTCTTCTCTCTGTCTCCAGTACTCTCATGCAGCGAACACGAATTCGGACGTGACGGAGTGTGAACAGGCCAAAGAGCTGGGCGCCATCAACAGCACCCTAAGGTGACACCACAGCCCTCTCCTCCCGTCTGCGTTATCTACCGGCTGAAGTCTCTTTTCATTCAGCCGGCTGCAGCTGACGGTGACCAGGTCCAACATGCCGGCAGCGTCTGGCCGGCAGCTGCTGGGAGTTTCTCAGCAGACTGACCTTCACCGCTCCGCCGTTGTGGAAAAACACGGAGGGTTATCGCGAGTTGATAGAAAATGAGAGAACACGGATAAGTTTGTGCTGAAACGACAAAGATAATACGACACTCGTCGTGTTAAAAAACCTGCTCGACTCGGAAGTCTAAAAATAACCTCAGTGGTGAACAGACCAGGAAGAGCGAGAACAGACTTTCATCCTCTGTGTTCGATCACATAGAGTCTCGTACACGTATTTATTAACACCTTGAAGTGATCTGATAAATCTTTGATACTACAACCCTCTCTTCCATCATTAATCAGAGAGAGCTGTGGAGCCCTGAAGTTTAATTATACATTGAAATAGATTCATCAGGTTAAAGTCTGAAATATTAGAGATCCTTTCTTCCCCCTTTTATTGTGATTGCAAAACGAGTGAAGACTAGTGCACGGACACATAAACAGCCAGAGGATATCACGCAAAGACAGACGAAGAAAAACAAAGGGGCCGTTTTAAACTCAAATTCTCTATATTTAAATGTCAATATGTTCATTTTTGATCGTGTTGTTATCCATCTATTTATTTTGCTGCTGCCTTGCCTCAGTTTCTCCTCCAGTGTTCAATAAAGACGTTACTTTACTTCCTGTTTCAGTAACCAGAGTAAACAGGCGTTCGCTGACTGGGCGAGACACGACGACGCTCAGGACTACTTCTGTGAGCTGGATGGTGAGGACTCACTCTGTCCGTCCAACACGTTGACCCAACGCACAACACGTCTGTTAAAGATGGACCCCTGCCCGAGCTTTAATCTAACGCCACCATCGCAACACATGTTCTACTTGTACACTGAAATATCAACATCTAACGGGCAGATCGCCCTGAAATCTCCTCATCACGTTCCATTAGATGCTCATGACCTCATGACCGTACCTCCATCATGTTGTTGGAACGTTTACACACCACAACAAGCCCACAGTCCATTAAAGTCTGTTTTGTGTGTGTGTGTGTGTGTGTGTGTTAGATGAAACCTCTCCAGACTCTGAGTATGTGGATCTGCTGCTGAATCCGGAGAGATTCACTGGATACAAGGGTCCTTCAGCCTGGAGGGTCTGGAATAGCATCTATGAGGAAAACTGCTTCAAGTGAGACACACACACACACACACACACACACACTTCTTGGCCATTTACGATATTTTAAAACTCTGACCTACCGATTCTGATTTTCTTTCTAAGATTTGTAATTTGTCAGATTAATTCAGACAGTTCCTGCGGTCTAAAGTCAGTTTTAACCTTTGGTATTATTGATTGGTTTGGACATCTACACCTAACCGTACTTGGTACATATTTTCATTTCCCTGCTCCAGCTCTGTGTTTAACTGTGTCTGATGCAATAGTTTTACTCTTTGTGCTCAAACACATTACTGACGGCTCTAAAACGTCTCTAAAGGAAAATGTAGGAGGAAGTGATTTCTGCTCTGTCTGCTTTTTATTTTCTAACAAATGGACAAAAATCAAGTTGAAAATCTGCCTCTGGCCAGTTTGCCTGTAAACCTGAGATGATTATTGATCATTACTAATAAAAAAACATTTGTTTTGTTTCCGTCGACAGGCCCAGATCAGTGTACCGACCTCTGAACCCTCTGGCTCCGAGCAGAGGTGAGTCAGCTTGTTAACGGAGAGATGTGACGGAAGCTGTTTGTAGAAATCTCTAATCCACAACTTTACCCATAATGCCTCACACCAGACAGGAAATACAGACCATTAACCGTAACGTACCGATGTGTCTTAGAGACGTTAACTAAAATGGTTTATCTTTTGACATTTGAAGTTATGCAATCTCTCTTTTTCTATGTCCAATGGGCATCCTGTAACTCTACTTATACAACATAATTACATAAATGTTTAAAGAAGAACATAGTCATAATGCAAGAATTACAAACCTTTCTGTACTATGTGGATGATATTGTATTTAATCTGCCCCTGATTAGAATACACAACTCAAATTTATCATTTTAATTTTCAGATTTGTCTGGTTTTGCTCCTGACTGACAAAAGTAGATCCAGAAATGTCTGTACAATCACAAACTAGACATTAAGCTTCTGCTCTGTTTATTTCTTTATTTATCTTGTGCATCTTTTACCGAGTGTGTGTGTGTGTATATGTGTGTATATATATATATATATATATATATATACACACACACACACGTTTGTGTTTATTAGTAGAACAGATCTAACAGCTTTGTTCTCTGTCTTTCTGTGTTCAGGAGACGACGATGGTGAGTAAAACTTCACTGTCTTCACGTGACTGTATTTTTAGTTTTAGTGTAAATGAATAAATATAATAATATAGTTTTGTTTCTTGTGTCGCTCACATTGCAGGAGAGGTTTTCTACAAGTGGCTGGAAGGTGAGTTCCTCCTCGTGTTTTTATATCTTTCTTCTCAAAGGGAACATTCTTCAACAGAACCGTCACCTTTAAGTTCACACACAGCTTCACACTTCCTTTCTAAACTTTCGCTTCCTGCCAGCTCCTGACCTAGAAAACAAATGTTGCATCTTTTGTGTGATCTAAGAGTGTGACAAGTGAAGCATTTTTATCTTTTCATTTCATGGATTTCATTCGTCTGTGTGCATTTAAAAACAACAGCAGACACTTTGAGGTTAGCTCTCCATCATCGGCCCCGACCGTGTGAACCAAACTACATCTGGAGCTCAAACGTTCTGATCTTTCTGATGAAAGATATCCGTTTCCTGTCGTCTTCACCTCCAGCTGACAGCAGCAGCTTCTCTTATCTCCTCGCTGTCAGAGTTCGTTGGGTACAAAGAGGCCAAAAAGCTTTCACTCGCCCAATCTTTGTGGTGATTTGCGTGCAGATTGCATTTTAAAATGAAATCCCGTTCACCTACATAAAGACTTTTAAGACAAATAACCCAACTGCAGGAGGAGATGATCACTGGAGGAAAGGAAGAAAATGTTCTATAGAGCTTCCAAGTCTTTTGGATTCTTTAGTTAGTTTCCTTTGCATTAATAAAACATTTCCTCTTCACTGTTCCCTCTCTGCGTCTTCAGGTTTGTGTTTAGAGAAGAGAGTTTTCTACCGACTCATCTCGGGCCTCCACAGCAGCATCAACATCCACCTGTGTGCCGAGTTCCTGCTGGACGGTACGTCAATCTGATCTCAGAACAGTTGTTTGTGTGTTTGATTCTCTTGTTGATGCGATATCTGACTTTCAGCACGGACCCCAAATCGATACCTTACTTTGATACCTTAACTTTGGGTGATGCGTGTGGCTAACAGTGATTCCTTGTTGTTTGGTCCCTCAGAGGGTTGGGGCCGGTCGGTGTGGGGCCCAAACGTTCAGGAGTTCCGGCAGCGTTTCGACACGGCGGAGACGAAGGGCGAGGGCACGCGGCGGCTGAAGAACCTCTACTTCCTGTACCTGATCGAGCTGCGGGCGCTCTACAAGGTGGCGCCGTACTTCGAACGAGCGTTCGTCAACCTGTACACGGGAAACATGCAGGAGGACGGAGCCACCAAGGAGCTGCTGCTGCAGGTCTTCAACGAGATCAAGTAAGAGGGGCGTGTTCGTTGGTCGTCTGAAGTAAGAAGAGAGGAAAGATTATTTCACTGACCGCAGGAGAAAAAGTACAATTTAGTTCAGTTGGTATATATTTTGATGATTATACTGTTATTCTGTTACTTCAGTAAGATGTTGATGTATTTCTACACTGTGGTATTACTACCTTTACTCAAGTAAAAGATCGAGGTACTTCTTTAACCTCTGCTCATAGTAATAATGAGACTAACCGCTCCTTTTGTCTTCCAGAGCTTTCCCAATGCACTTTGATGAGAAGTCCATGTTCGCCGGACACAAAATCGAAGCCAAAATGTTAAAGGTGAATCCAAAAACTCATCATCACACACGCAGAGCGACCAATCGCTCTCTGTGTGTGTGTGTGTGTGTGTGTGTGTGTGTGTGTGTGTGTGTGATACCCAATGATGTTTGTCTTTGTGGTTTCAAACAGAGCAGGTGCCTCTTTAGTCTGTGGTGTGTTTGCTCTCTTGTTAATGCTAAAAAACGTGTGTGTGTGTCTGTGTCTGTGTGTGTGTGTGTGTGTGGGTGTGCGCGTGTGCTCTCTTTTATCCTTTAGGAGGAATTTCGCCTCCATTTTAAAAACATCTCCAGGATCATGGACTGCGTCGGCTGCAGTAAATGTCGCGTGTGGGGAAAACTGCAGGTGAGCGCACTGCCCCGTGTCTCTGCTCTGTGGGTTTAGACTCACTGATGTGTGTTTGCTTCCACAGATGTAATATGTTGAACTATTTCTACAAACATCAAACTGAGACAGAGAACTGGTTCCACACCTCTGAATCAACGCTCGCATTTTAAACCGTGTTCAGTGATTCTAAAGAGATTCTTGTTCACGTCTAAAACTGTGAAATTGTCTTTTTATATTGTACAGTCGTGACGTCACAACCGTGTTTGTTGTGCGACGCACCGTAAACTTAGACAAGAACCACCGGAGCGCTCTCACGCTTTTCCTTCCGGTGCGTTGTGTGCAGACTCAGGGTCTCGGTACAGCTCTGAAGATCCTCTTCTCCGAGAAGGAGATCCAGAACCTCCCTGAACACAGCCCCTCTAAAGGCTTCCAGCTGACTCGACAGGAGATCGTGGCCTTACTGAACGGCTTCGCCAGGTACAGTCGCTGCTCTCTGGAGCCCCGATAGACTATTACAGGCAGACACTTGGAAGGATAGTTTGGATGTGTTGAAGTGCACGTATCAGTAGTCGGTGTATCACTACAGTAGATGACACGGGAGTACCAGCACGTGAGCAAAGCAACGTACTGTTGTGGACGTATTTTAGACAACCTATCCCTTTAAATGTACGCTATATTTACAATATTCTCAGCGCTTTACGTTGCCGGTTGTCTATGCTCTCGTCAAAGCCACGCAGTCTACGGCGGCTGCGGTCTGTTAGTTAGTGTTATTGTTAGACTTGTGTGGAGTTTTTAAAGGGTCAGTTCAGATTCACCAGAGTCGCACAGTAACACAAACACACTACCAGCAACTCCTGGTGTTCAGCGAAGTAAAATAACTGAGTCTTGTGGCTTTGAAGAGAGCATCGGACGGCACAACATAAAAATCAAAAATACCTTCTACTGCCGCCCCGTCCACAGCAGTACATTTCGTTGCTCCCGTCTGCCATCTGCTGTCGGTAATACACAACCTCACTTCAAACAATCTGTACTATCTCTTTAAGGGAAATGAATACTCCTCCTCTGACTCTTGGCGTAAACTCTGCGGCCGGTGGCGCCCTCTATTTACCAGCCACCATTTCATTACTTTTCCCTGACCACCACTTTCTCCCACTCTCAGGTTGTCCACCAGTATACATCAGCTCCACAGTTTCCGCCTGCTGCTGAAGGACAACAGGTAACAGAAGGCGACGTCCCACCTGGCCAGTAGGCGGCGCCAGCCCCCAAGAGAACTGCAATAGTCTAATATTCACCCAGAAGAAGGCCTTTTTCATGGACAGCAGGATCAGCAGTGAACCCAACCGTCCCCCCCACAAACACACTCTCTTCTCCCGCTAATCTCTCTCCTGTTTCCCTTCTGTACTTCCTCCTCCTCCTCCTCCAGTAGATTATGAATGTTAACTCCTCTGCCTCCTCTTGCCTACGTCGGGAAAGTCTCCAGGTTCTAAAAAACTTCACCCGACGTCTTTTCCTCTCTGCTGTAAAACTTGTCGGCCAGTGTACAAACCTTTTCATTTATATACATTTATTCTTTCGGGGTCTCTTTTGAGAGGTCGACCTGTAAGATCAGCAGGTTTGTTTGTGACGTTTCGACACGATCAGATCTTTGGAATGAAGTCACAGACCGAGCGGTGACCAGCCGAACATCTGACTCCAGGACGCAGAGCAAACCGTGTCCGAGTTTGAGTTGACGCAGTCGTGGGTGAATCACTTCACCGGTCATTTCTCTTTCTCGCTGACCCCGCCCTCTGCTGACATCACATCCTGTTGGATTTTACAGTCATGTGAGCCTGAGTCAGACCTTTAGGGCTCTTACGTAAGGATATTGTCCCGAGAGAGGACTCAAGTTAGGACGGTTCTTCCAGATAGAAAGTGCGTCTGAACCGTCAGGACGCTGCTGCCTGTCCTCTTCTTTACTTAACTTTTATTTTCCTTTTACCTTTTCCTTCTCCTGTTGTTTTTTAGATAAGTTTGTTGCTCAAAGCCTGAGGATCTGGACCAATCTGCTCGTGTTAACCATCTCAGGCCTAATTTATGTCAGCTCGCTAGAAGGTGTGTGTGTGTGCAGACATATGTGAGTCGTGTTGTGTGTGAAATGTCCATGCAGGCTTTTTTTTTTTAATGTGGATTTCAGTGACTAGTTGATTTAAGTAGATTCTGTCCAGTCCGGCAGCAGCATCCAACCTGAAACTAACTTCAACTCCATGCAGGCGGTTAAAAGGCGCGTGATTATCAAACTAACTTCAGCTTAGTCTGTAAAGTCTCACATCGCTTGTTAAAGCTTTCTGAAGGTACATTATTAGGTTATTTACTGCAAAGTCAGCTGATATGATTCATCAATCAGTGTCACCTGCTGACGGATCCCGACTCCTCTCATTATCAGCGTAGTTCTGAAATGCTGAGTTTAAACAATCTCATTAAATATGTGGCCTGAGCTACATCTGCTCGTTTCCCCTGAAGCTTAATAAGCCTATATCATATTATATTTAATAGAAGATGCAATAATTCCTTCTCATGTTAGAAGCAGAGTTCTTTATTTCTGGTGCGGTAAGCAGCCCGTCTCTGTAACACCCTGCAGTGGTCGGCTGAACAATAAATCAAAGTAACTAGTTTGTTTTTGTGTAAAATGTAAAATAGGCAATCAAGTGACGTCAGTCCCAGAAAGGTCCCGACGGCCCCGTTAACTCTCAGCACACTCTGGATCACAAATCCAGAATTTTACATGAATATACATTTTGATTTTCCAATTTTTTTTTAAGGAAATATGACAAAGATATGCATATGGACTGACTCCCCATGGTGTCATGTGATCATCTGGCTTAATGCATGTAGCTTAATACAGCGGATATGACCTACCGGTCTATCCATCTATCGGCCTCCGAGGCGAGTGGACGATAACAAGTGTGTGTGAGTGCAAAGACCACCGAATCCGTTATGACCGGTTCAACAGCAACACTTTAAATACAGCGTTTGTTTCTTAAATAGATTAAATCAGACTCTATGTGATGTTTCTGATTGTTGTCTCGTAGAAAGGGATGAAGCATAAAGACGATGTCCATTTTTAGCCAAACGCAACGTGTGAAGTTGGAACCTTTTGGTGCGTGTGTGTGTGTGTGTGTAGATCAACAGTTGCAGCTATAAGATAATGGACTGTGACTTGTTTCCATAGTTAACCTTGATACAGTAGCAGCTTTTTGCTCTTGTTTGTGTGAAAGTGTCACGTTTCTGTTGTATTTTACAAACGTGCCGCCTAGTTTTCTCCGCTTTTATTCTTTTGCTTCAGCCGTGTTGTCTTGAAGCACAGCTTTAGTCGAGACAGAGTTATTTAAATAGGAAAGTAGGATTTATTAGGTTCTCTTGAGATGAATTACTATCTTTTATTTTACATTTAATTAGGAGACGGACTTGTAAAGGCCCTGGATGAGAGGCTTTTAGTTGATGGAGCGTAGCGGCACATCAGCAGGATGCTGGAGGAGTCTTTAGGACTTCTGTGTCCAGTGCTGACGTCTCTGAGGCGGTTCCCCTGAGATCAGCACTACAAGAAACATTCTCTGCTTTTATTATTTATTTTCATACTCAACAGCCCCATTGTTCAGACTCAAACCAACAATGTGTTAGTGTGTCTCTCTGACTTCCTGTCTGTGGCTCTCAGCTCCGAGCCCTTTGGTTCCTGCTGAAGACGTAAGTCTTTAAAAACACAAATGTATAGTTTCCTTTTGTCCTAAAACAGCTGGCCATCAACAGGAGGAAATAGTGCATTTGTTGGGGACTATTTTCAGCGGCGGATTAATCTATATTTGGTGCTCTAGTGTGTGTGTGTGTGAGAGTGTGTGTGTGTGTGTGTGTGTGTGTGTGTGTGTGTGTGTGTGTGTTCATGGTGATGAAGGAACAACAGTGAGGCTCACCGATGTGTTTTTAATGGAGCTCTGTGGAACAGAGGAAGAAGAGACATCAGGCGTTGATACACACGCATGCACGCACACACACACACACACACACACACACACCACTTGTTAGTAGAAACATTCATTGATGGTTTTAATGTTTTGTTGACGACAAGATAAATGTAGAATATCACCAGACTTACACTTTAAGGAGGCGTGTCATCTTGAGAGAGTAGTACCTTGAAACAACACGGAATAACGTCACAAAGAGAACTTCAACATGAACCATTTTGAAATGATGACGATCAATAAGCAACGTCAAACAAGCAAAGGATGCGGAGCGCGTCCGTCGTTCTGGACAAACTGGTTTACGAGGTGATTTTACAGATTTACTCACGACTCCGGTCTGAGTATTTAGTTATATGAAGTGGACCAAAGAGTTTTAAGTTCATTTTTTTTCTATGTATGTTTTTTTTATCTTTTCTTTAATTGATTCTTCGATCACGTGACAGTTTAAAGATGTTGCGATAAGATATGTTGAAGCTTTGTTCAGTATAAAGAGAGTTAGGCTTGTAGTTTATAATTTAATAATTTAAAACCTGAAAAAGGATAAAAAGATGTATAATTACAATATAAAGAGTAAAATTCCATCTTCTTCTTGGCCTTATCTCATACTTTAATGCCATATATCGGATCGGGGGGGGGGGGGGGGGAATTAATGTTAAATGAAATGCCGGGACGGAAGCGACTTCTTTTCATTTCTGTCATATAATCAAAGATTTTGTGAATTCAATGATAAATTTAAGACAATATACTAGAAAATTCAAAGAATTAATTTAAAACACATTGAGTCAGATAAGTTATTATTATTATTATCATTACATTTCACAAACATTTAAATGATAACATAAGTTATAATTAGTTGATTAAGTCTATTTTCTTTGTTTCTTAGTGTGAAAGTGAGACAGCAGTGCTGCACTAAGTGTGTTGAGTGTGAGTGAGACATGTGCATGCCTTCCTCTGAGCCCTGCATGCCCTCCAGCAGCGGGACGTCCCGTACGGTCCACTCTTCAGCCTTAAAACGAAGTCCAGATTTTTTGGAAAAAAAGACGAACGGAAGCTGCTTCTGATCCTCACGCTCTTCATGTTTGAATCTGTGTAGTGTGTAAGAGGCAGCACAGGTTAAAGCTTTCTTTCTTTTGCTCTCAGATCTCTATGAATCTATATATAGCTGCACCATGTTGATGTGTGTACCTGTTGAGTATATTTATTTGACAAGAATAAATATTTCTGGACATCACTGAGCTCTGTTTGGAATTTTGATTTTTTTTCGACTGATCCAGTAAAATACTCACATTTACACATTTTGTTCTTTTATAATATTTTATATAATATATTATTCTCATGTGAGACTCTGTGACACTGGCCTATACATTATTTTAATTCTGAATGTAAACATGAAGTTTGTTCCCAAGAGAACTCCACAGGGAACCTCTTTAAAGGGTAACTTCGGTGTTTTTCCATGTTTTTGGGTCCAAGTGACTAATCAGGACAACAATTTTTGAAGTTGTCCAGTATTGACGGAGAACGCTGTAACCAGCTAATATGACGTTAAGTCCACTAACGGTGCTTCTATTTGACAATGGCGGGCTCAGATTGTCTGACAACATTAAGGAAAAAGACTTTAGAGAGAACTTTCTTTTTAACTTTCACTTGATTGTTTGTTATTGTGTCCCACATCCCGCTCGGGTCTTGTTGTGAAATATCCCGGTGAAATAACCGTCTGCAGCGCTCTTCCTCAAAACTGGACCAATTTCAGAAACTGTTGTCCCGACTAGTCGGTTAGATAGAAAACTCCAGGTTTCCCTTCATGTGTGCAAAGTTCATCAAGGGTTTAGGCTGCTATGCTAAATGCTAACATCCTCACAGTGACAATGCTAACATGCTGAAGTTAAGCACGTATGATGTTTATCATAATCATGTTAACTTAGCATGTTAGCATGCTAACGTTTTGACTTCAGCGGTAAACACAAAGCACAGCCGAGGCTGACAGGAATGTCATTAGTTCTGCAGGCATTTGGTCATAAACCAAATTAGAATATGAGCATCACTCAAAGCTTGCTTCCTTCACTGGTTGTTTGATAAAATGAAGAGATCAAGAAATAATGAAATGAACGCATGTTTGTTGTAATGACAACTTTAATTTAAGTCTTTTTGTGTCGTCACGTCACAAACACACAAACCACAAGCACAACAAAGCTCAACAACAAAACGCACGATCTCAGTGAGACTCTGTACAAATAACTTACAAAACCTGCGTCTGTTAGAAATATAGACTTCTTTTCTTCTGAACATCGGGACAGAAATGTAAACACTGCAAAAGAAAGCTCATATTAACATATTAATGTTAAAATCGTGATTTTCCTCAGATTTAAATGATTCGACAGTTTTGATGGTTTAATTACTTTCCAGAGTTTTAAAAGATGTTCACGTTGAAACAACACAACTTCTAGAAATCTGAAATTTCACAAAACTCAAATAATTTCACGTTTTTAATTATTTCAAAAATAAAATGAAAACCCACCGTTAAATTACTTGTTAATCTGCGGATCTTTTGAGGTGAACATCAAAACAGCGCAGAGGTGTTCAGATGTCTGGCTATTGATATTTACAGGATATTGATTATGTTGAATTAACACACGGTGCATGTGTCCGTGTGCGTTACGATGCATTTAGTTTTACTTTACAGTTGAGAACCTCAAAAAATAAATACTACTTGAGTAATCCTTGAAAAACTCCCCAAATAATCAAGAAACATTCATCACAACATCGTCTACGTACTGTGGGTCTATAAATCCTGGATTCTCTCTGAAGTAGGGCTCCTGCACAAAGTTAAACAAGTCTGGATCACTTGTAATCAAACATGGTGAGCAAATACACCTGATGAGTTTTTGATGTATTATGATAATCATAATTTCAGTGACTGGTACTTCTTTATTTTCCTCTGTGATTTTACGCACTTTGTATCTCAGTGCTCCACTCTGTTTTTTTTAGTCATGACAGAAACTTATCAAGTCATTAAATAGTGTCGACAGCTTTGAATTGATTGTGATTCAATTCTGTCTGGACATTCATGTTCCCCAGAGGATGAATCCTAAAGTCTTTGACGAGCTTCTGTCACCAGCGGGTCAAAGTTTTCACTAAATATTCCCACATCTATCTGATGGATTGGCTCAAAATGTTGTGCATTCATGTTCCTCAGAGGATAAACCTAGACTTTGATGATATTCTGACACCAATAGGTCAAAGTTGTCACTTATCCAGTTAAAGATTTCTGCATCTACCTGATGGATTGGCACAAAATTGTGTGCATTCATGTTCCCCAGAGGATGGTTCCCAGTGATTTTGGTGATTTTTTTTTTTCTTTAGCGTCACCACCAGGTTCACATACGTGATACAGTATATCTCAACAAATTTTGGATTAAGTTTGGTTAAGACATTCATGGTAACAACTCCATGTAGGAACCCTGCTGAGAATTCTGGTATTTCATCTAAAGTCTCTACTGTGAGTCTACAAACTTCTACATCAGTGATGATAAGAAACACAATAACTGATCGGTGTCAAAGTGCAGAGTGATGCTGTACAGTGAAGAGGGGGATTATGGGTAAGGGTGGAGCTCTCCGGCGGTGGCGGTCAGGCGCTGTTCGTCGCCGTTTGTGTGCACCGTGAAGCTGCTGTGGCGGCTGCCCCAGTCGTAGCAGTCGGTGGAAAGACTGTCAGAGAGACGACAAACCGTCAGTCAGCTGGTTTATTAATGTATTATTGATACAAATATTGATTATAGCTGCTTTATCTATATTAATTCAGAAATACCAAATACAAAAGGGTCATGGTGACATCAGTGGTGGTGCTTTGTACCTCGCTGATGCATTCTGGGGAGGAATGCTCCACGCCAGGTCATCGTCACTGTCGTACCGACGAGGGTTGTCGAAGAAGTATCCTCTGGAGGAGAGAACGTGGTTTGGTATCCCAGCAGTGCTCTGCGGAGACAAAAGACTCACAGTGAACACACACAGGAGGCTCTTCTGATATAAAAATCCATATTTTGTATTTAGTAGTAAACAAAGTACAACTGAGGCTGATGGGAATGTCAAGTTCTGCAGGTATTTGGTCAGAAACCAAAGTATTGGACAAATTCAAATGTTGACCTGATGAAATTGGTCAGTGGATCAAGAAGTCTGAAAAATGTAACGACAATCCATCTAATATTTGCTGAGATATTTCACTCTGGACCAGCCAACCGACCGACCGACGGACAATTGTCATCCCTAGTGTTTAAGCTACGACTTAAAAAACAACCAGGTGCAAGCGTTGCAGAGGTCGGAGGTCACCCGACCCCGCCAGGAGGACTGACCCTTTCCTGAGGCGGCCGGCGGACCCTGAAGAAGAAGACGACCAGCGAGGTGGGCAGCAGCTCCCAGACGAACAGAATCACCCCGAACACGATGTAACCAGCGTCTCCCAGAGACGACCGCAGGTCCGCCTGGAGACACACCAACAGACATTAGTACAATGTCGCTAAGTACAGTACTGTGGATTTGAGGTATTTGTACTTCACTTGACTATTTCCTTTTTATGCTACGTTATACTTTTACTCTCCTACATCTCAGCGGTAAATATTGTACTTTATTCTACATTTTCTCACAGCTGTAGTTACAGTTTTTCATCTACTTCCTGTCCAGTGAAATACTACTCAAAGGTCAGGGGCCAAACAGCTATTGTAACGTCAGACTTCTGTTCAAACCAGGACGCTGATTGAAATGATGTTAAAGAACCGGTGAACTGAAAGACCCTCACCTGGTCTGAGACGTTGTACCAGTCGTAGTCGAAGGAGTTGATGTTCTCGATGTTGGCGAGGGCGAGCACCACCAGGTTGTAACAGGCCCGCGATGCGTACAGCAACACCACCATGATGCCGATCAGAGTCACCTGACACACCGACGTCCCCTGCACACACACAGGTATCGCTCGTTATTATTCCTTTTGATTGTATTATTTATTTTCACGTCTGCTGCGTGATGGAATGATATTTATAAAGGGTCCCTTCATGAAAACCTGAAATATCCTGGAAGGAAAAGTCAAGGACAGTCTCTAACTGATCCCATGTTGCTGATAAAGACCATGAGATGAGGTTGAAAGCTCAGGGAAGTTAGTAAGTGGACCAAACCTGTGACTTTACCTTTGACTCCAGGTAGATGTTGGCCAGCGACATCTTGGCAACCTTGTAGAGGCAGACGGACAGCGAGATGGCGCAGAGGACGAACAGGCTGTCGTTGATGGTGACCCTCACCAGGACGATGGTCTTCACGTCGGCGGCGGTCATTTTGACCAGCAGGGCACAGACCAGATTCACCACCAGGAAGAGGAGACTGGCGCTCAGGAAAACCAGGTACAGAGGAAGCCTGAATGAGACGGGAGAGAGCCGCACCATCGGTGACCTTTCACTGCGTTTTAAACATGGAGGCGGGGCTCAAACATGCCCCGCTGTCATTTATGAATACACCTTGGAGGTTTTACTGTAGGAACTTGAAGAGGTTACCTGTACTTGAGCAGTGCAGGTGCGTACTTGGACTTGGCCTTAAAGTAAACCTGTAGGGGGGACAAATAAAAGGCTGATTAGACACTTACAGCTCTTCACCCTCATGGTTTGTTCAGTAAATCAGATCTGGTGTTGTGCCACTTGACAGCACTTTAAATTTGAGAAACAATCGGCCAATCACAGCTCTGAAGGTGGGACTAACAATCAGCACACCACCGTCCTACACAGCTACCTAACTACGTCCATGGAAAGTAGAAGTAGTTTGTTGTAAGTCGGCTTGCAGACGTAACAACTCTTAAATATGTTGAGTATTGAATATAAAGAGTTGCTGCTTTTCTTTTGTATAATGTTATTAATGTTATTGTGTGTTGAGGTTTGGACCAAACAGCATTTCTCACTATTTTCACTATTTTTAGAAACCAAACAATCAATCGATTGATGGAGAAAATAATCAGCAGATGAACCCATAATATCAATAGTCGTTAGTTAATAGTTCAAATGAGCTCCACTTCAACTACAACAGTAAAACCCTGCTTTTAAATCAATGAATGAGTATCTAATAGTATGATAATAATCTATTGATATAATATGTAATAGTATAAAAGTCACAGCAGGGGACATTGTAATACTTTAACTACATTTTCCTGATTAAACTTACATACTTTTACTTCAGTAACACTTTCAATGCAGGACTTTTACTTGTAGTGGAGTATTTTCACAGTGTGATATTGGTACTTGTACCAAAGTAAAACGATGTGAATACTCCGTCTGCAGCTCATTTCATCGATTAGCCCCTCCTCTCTGACCGAAGGTTCCCCCATTAAGGAAATGAGACACCGTCGTGTTTGGTTGGAAGAAATAACCTGCGTCATCTCAGCTCTCGGGAACAAGGGTTGTTAAGCTGCTGCTAAAGAGGCTCGTTTCTATTATGTCGTTATTTTCAGGTCTATTTCTGAATCCACCAGCTGCTGTGGATGAATGGGTGAATGGGTGAAGAGGAGAGGCAGCTGCTACACGGATCATCAGTTGTAGGGTGGGTGGTTTGATTCCGAGCTCCTCCTGTCCACCAGTAGAAGTGTCCTTGAGCCGAACACTGAGGTCTCTGGATGTGTGTGTGTGCAGGAGAAATCGCCAAAATCGTCTGCTTAATGGAGGAAATCACTTAAGACGAATCTGTTCGTATCTACACACTTGTAAATGTTTATTTGTTGTCGGTCGACTGGAAACAAGCTTCTCCCAACGAGCCCACCAGCAGCGACCCAGACACAGAACTTCTTGAAGCAGTAAGAACAGAGAACGCTTGGAACCAAGAAGTTAGTCTGAAGTTCTGACTATGAATCCTGAAAGATTTCATTTCCTGTTTCACAAATTCCATGAAATCTTCTTTTAAATCCACCCAACTGTCTACAGAGGTCGTCCTTCATCACAGTAGCATTCAGGCTATCAACACTTCTACGTTTAGACGCAAGACTGCTTCATCACTGCATCCATCTCATCCCAGCTTGTCACATTTTTGTGGTTCTTGCTATTTTTCATGGATGTAGCTACTTAGCCGCTACATTACATTACATTACATTGGCTGATATAGAAACCGCTGTCAATAAGCTCAACAGCATGTTTCAATAGCAAATCAAAGATTTGGAACCAGGCTGGTCTTATGCATCATTGTAGAGACAGTTCCCCAAGTCTCAGCCTGATTTATATCTTTGGAGACGTTAAGATCTGGACTATAATTACAGTGGAAACCGCTTAAATAATTAGCTTTTAGTAACAGTAGTTTGCTTACAGTCTTTTCATACGTGACAACATATGTGAAAAACATCACAGGCTAATGATAATTCTTTCTTTTTTGCTTTTTCTTTTCACTTCACTCGCTCGATACTTTGCCTCGCTGCCACCCGGCTGTAATGTAATGTCGTCAAGTGGATTCATAACGTCCGGTCCCCTAAAAAGGGAACCTCTGCCGATCCTCGATCGACTCGAGAGCGAGCGACTTCAAAGGGGTCGTTCGTCTGCATGCACCGCTGCAACGAAACAAAGCCGGCTAAAAGCTGGCTAAGCCTCACCCCCGGTGTAAGTAAGCCCCCGGTGAGGGAAAAGGCCCGAGAATTGCCAGCAAGCGAGTAAGTAGCGAAGCCGTTAATGTCAATTAGATGGAGATCTGCGTGAGATATGAAGACAATAAATATATCGTTTAAAGTAATCGGTAGTGATCAATTCCCCTCGGACAGACGTGATCACTATAAACGGTTTCCACTGAATGATTCAACACCAGGCTGAAAAACGGTGTTTCACTGCCCCCCGCTGGTTGAAAGTCTCTCCTCCGCTGCACCACTGATGGGTGTGGTCAGAGGTCGCACCTGTAACCGCACCCAGCTGTGATGTCACGGTGTACAGACACACCCTGGGGTACACTTCAACATCACTGCAGCAAGAAGAGAAGTTAAAGCACGGCACGATGTTACCCTTTAAAAAACAAAAATGAACTTCACGCTTCCAGTTTTCACCAGCATCCCCTCCACCAGTACCGGTACCAGTAGCAGCAGTGTCTCCCCCCCCCCCCCCCCCCCCCACCCCGGGCCCGGGGAGCCCCCCCCCCCCCCCCCCCCTTCCTCACCTGTGCGCAGTAGAGGTTCATGAGGCTGAGCGTGAAGAACTGCAGGCAGACGGGGAAGCAGTAGAGCAGCCAGAAGGCGAATGGCCCGAGTGCGTTGGCGGTCACACAGTCTCTGAAGTAGAAGGAGAAGAGGAGGGCGCGCAGGGCGGCCCACAGCAGACACAGGAACAGGAAGGCCGTCTGGTAGCTGAAGCGCTTGTGTCGGTATCGCAGCACCAGCCAGAGCTGGGCGTACACAAAGGCGAAGAGCAGCGAGTAGAAGATGGTGTAGGCGATGGTCAGACCCAGCTTCACATAGGGGGGGATGGCCGGCGTGATGGTGGGAGGGGGAGGGAGGTGGGTGCCGTTACCGGCATGCTGCTGCTGCTCCTGTGCCGGGTTGCCCTCCATTGCCTCCCCATTCATCCCCCCTGTGTTCCCCAGGAGTGGGAGGAAAGGGAGAGGAGGTTAAAGACAAGGCAGCAGCCTCTGATCTCTGGGAGAAGAAGAAGAAACGTGTCTCAGCTCGTTAGACGGATCCTTCACATCCAATCGACTCTCCTCCAGACTCACCGTCTGATTCACAGGGAAGAGGAGGAGGAGGGACACCGCCCCTCTTTTTGCCGGTGCCTGGTGGAGAGCTATTGGTGGCTGTTGGTCACGTGATCACACTCCCCAGCAGGGGATTGGCTGAGCAGGAGGAAGGATGCTGCAGAGAGGAGAGGAAGGTGGAGAGATGGATCTGGAAGGAGAGAGAGGTAAACTGTGATCTGTGGTCCCGCCCACCACACACGCACACACGCCGTGTCACAGCAGCGTCATACAGCCGTCGTCGACTGATGATGGTTTTTAATGGCCAATATCAGACAGATACTGGTGGATATAGATGAATGTGTTTCATGGCAGAAAGAAATTCTGCAAAAATTGCAACAATTCCAATTTACAAAATGTATGCATTTATTAGATAAATGTCAATAATGCTGAAATGCTGCTCAGCCGCATGACTTATTATTTATTTATTTAGTTTTCATTTTCATGACAACCAGTGCAAACTGAACCAGTTCTGAGGTAATTGGGATGTAGCATCATTTCCATCCTGTCAGACTGGAGTATGAATGAGTGGACTGTATCAACCCTGATATCAGTCTAAAGCAAATATAGACCTCCTCTTCCTCTTCCTCCTCCTCTTCCTCCTCCTCCTCCTCTCTGCAGTTCTTCTTCTCTGCTTTTACATAACAGGTTGTTAGATAATAGAGGATGCCGTGGGGCTCGTCTCAACGCGCTGACGGCAAAGATACACGCTCATTATCTAACGCTCTGCTTCTACTCTTCTACTTTCATGCTGAGAAGTGACGTCGATCTGAATCAAACCGTTTTTATAATGTAGATATTTATTAAAAGATTGTCATTCACGACACCATGTTTAAGCTGCGATGTTTTATATAACATGTTAACTGAATATCTGAGAGATAATATACATTACTTGGTGTCTCTCTCTCTCTAAGTTTATACAATTCATCATATTTTTACATTAATATATTGGTACCTTTACTCGAGTAAAGACGTACTTCTGCCACCACGGACCGATATGATCACATGTCAAAATAACATTAAATGGGTTTATAAAATTATAAAACTTAACAAGCAAATGTGTTACCTGGGGAACGAATATTGTTCCATCTTCAGTATAAGTTACACCTGGTTGGATAGAAGAATCACAAGAGTAATGATGAGAATTCATGTAACACAGTAATAACACAAAATCCCAGAGTGATTTTTTGATGTGCTGCCAGGACTAAATGCATCCTGACGGAGCATAAATACTGAAAGGCTCAGTGAGGCAGCTGCTGAACCCACTGAACTTCTCATTCAGCCGGACTCCTTTACATACAAGGAAGTATTTCGATTATTTACCTTATGAAGGAAGTAACACAACATCAGAGGTATGCAGTCAAATATAACAGTTAAACATTACAATGTGGTTCAGTGAAGGAGCTGAAAAAGCCACAGCTGCGTGAAAAAACATGAAGGAAACAACTGAAGAAGAAAAAGGTTAAAGAGGAAAGGAGAGGAAAGGAGAGGAAAGGAGGTATAGAAGGGAACAAGGCAGATCAGGAGCAACGGTGGAAGAAGTATTCAGATCCTTTACTTCCATAAAAGTACTAATGTTACACTGTGAAAATACTCCACTACAAGTAAACGTCCTGCATTCAAAACCTTAAAGTATGTCAGCAAATGTACTTCAAAATAAAAGTACTCGTATATGTATATAATGTTTCTTGATTATTATGTATGTTATATTTTCCTGCTGTAGATGTTTTTAACTCCTTTACATCCTGTTGTCTAGTTTAATCTTCATCAATGCATCATATTCTATAAGATCATCACGTGTTCCTGTGAGAACCTCGTATCTCTAGAAAGAACAACAACCTGTTTTCAGGTTTGTTATGAAGCATCTTCCTGAAGAAGTAGGAGGATTTTATCATCACATAAAGGAACATTTCATCCTTCAGTTTATCACAAACATTCAACATCAACACATCTGGAGATACCAGGTTTTAACTGGAAAAGTAGCTAAAAGGTTATCTCAAAAGTAACTAAAGCTGATCTGTAAGGTGTAAAAGAAATTAAGGTAAAACGGAAAGATTTGATGTGAAGAACATGAATGGACGGATGAAAATGGAGAGAATAAACAAATAAAAAGGGAGGAAAGAGATGAGGAGAGCACGTAGTCATGCAGTTAGACTCTGTGTCCACAAGATGGCGACAATGTCTTGAATGAATGTGCTGAGCTCGGACTAAACCAAAGAATACCGGATGTACCTGAATGTCTCCATAATAAGATTGTATTGTGTTTGAATGTAAAACGCACCACAATGTTGTTATTGTCATGTGGAAACTAAAGGATTGTGTCTAATGCAGATACATACTCCACATCTACAGTTTTACATAGTTGCATAAAGTTCAAAAACTCAAAGAATAATACTTCCGGTTGGACTTTTGTACCAAAATAAAAGTCTAAACGCGTTAAGCCAAACTCAGAAACTAATAAACAAAACATGAAGCAATAAAATGCAAATACACTCTATAAGGGAGATGAGTACTCCTGGTGCTTTGAGTATATTTTGATGATAATGTGTGTACTTTTACTTCAGTGAAGTTTTGATTGCTGGCCTTTTACTTATGTCAGGGTATTTCTACACTGTAGTATTGCTATAAGTAAAACATCTGAATACTTCTTCCACCGTTAACTATAGGCCTAGCAATTACTTAAACACGACAGTTTCAGTTTGAAGAACATTTCCAGCCTTTTTCTGTTTGTATTTGGCACTTTTATTTTGAAAAGAGTTAATCTGAAGCCACGTGATCGTTACTTACGCCCCCCTCATCTACTCTCGCTGTTCCTCCATTCATTCATTCATTATTATTGTTATGATGGAGAAGATGTGTACCCGGTACCGGAGCTGGCTGTGGGTCTGGTCCTGCCTGCTGAGCCTGAGTGTTTTGAGCCGGGCTCTGGAGCTCGAAGAGCTGTTCGAGTTCGGAGAAGAAGCCGGAGACCAGCAGCTGCTGCCCGGCTCGGACTCCACCGCCGAGCTGCCTCTCAACGGATCTCTGTTCTTCTTCGGCGACACCTTCGACACAGTCTACGTGAGTTACACACCCAGCGGGTCGCGTGTTTAATGGGAAAGAAACCAGATTTAATCATGAAGTTCATTCATCGAAGTTGCACAAGTGCTCAGGAATCAGTTTAAAGGAGCAGCAGAACATTTAGTAAAATACAACCTGGTTTCATCAACTCCAGGAAAGAACTACAATAACCGAGGAATGTTTCACAATTAATTAAGACAAAAAGTTAATCAGCATTTCAGAAATGATACATGATGAAATTCAACTTGAAATTACTGAAATCAAAATGAGAATTGCAATTAATTTATGTGTGAAAGATCATTTTTTCCTCAGGTAATCATTTATACTTGAATTTTCAAAATAACAGGCAAAGACATGTCTTGAAATTTCACTTCCTTTGCCAAAAATAACTGATGAACAACTTATAAAACGAATGATTACCACAAGGAACCGAATCTATAGATTTTTTTTTTTTTTAACCTAAAAATGTCTTAAATGTTGCACATTAAAGTTATGGTGGAATGTGATAAGTAACTTTTAGGAGTAAAAATACTCAAGTTTGACGTCAAACTGACATAAATCCAAGCACACGATGCTTCTTCAACAATACACCTTTAAATAGTTAAAGACCTATAAATTAGGATATATTTAACCGGATTTTGGTGCTAAATGAAGTTATTTAACAGATGTCTTTGAGGGATGTTTGGTTATTTTGTGAATCTGTCTCCTCTTCATCCTCATACTTCACTCTAAAGGTTAAAGTGATTTTATTTAGTTATTGATCCGGGTGGCTTTATTGATCGGTCTCCTCTCTCCTGTGTTTGTTGACACCCGATGAGGTTTTCTGTTCAATCGGCGAACGACACCTCAACTCCTTTCAGGTCTCAGATTTTCACATTTGAAAACAACAATAAAAACATTCTTCATGTCATCCGACTCCCACAACTTCCACTGTTCATACAACTTCAGCTGCTTTCAGTGCTTCAGCCGACACTCCTGAACTAATGGCACTAATGTCAAGACCTCCACTTCAACTCCAGCTCAGTCTGTCACTTACACTTCAGAGATTTCATTTTTGTATATCGACTGCTGTTTCATTTTCCACTTCTTTCAGTGTTTCAACTGATCATCTTCCACAATGATCACACGCTTCACGGTTGGTTTGATAAGGGAATTGTCTCCTCACTTCAGTCTTTGAGTCTGCTCTCTCTCTGTTTGTTTGTTTGTTGACACCTGATAAGGTTTTCTATTGGCTTTTAATCTCCTCATTTTAAAACTGTTTTCAAAATAAGAGCCCCCTCTCTCTCTCTCTCTCTGTCTCTCTCTGCGTGTTTCCCCTGCTGCTTTGGTTTAGATCCAAATCCGTCCCGCTGGTTTCTGGCTCTTGAGTGCTTGATTGTGGTGATTGTGGTGACATGTTGATAGTGGTGTGAACAGACAGGTGGAGTGTGTGTGTGTGTGTGTGTGTGTGTGTGGAGAGATGCTGGTGGAGGTTCTGTTGTTTGTTTAGTTCTCTCAGAGAGACGGAGGTGTTGGAGTCACTGTGAATATGTGAACAGAGGCTGGAATGTGAGTCAATTAAAAGCCAACACAGATAAGCCTTTCATCAAGCCGAGACACACAACCGCACACACACACACACACACACACACACTGGATGCATTCCTCAGGTCATGTGACAGATAATCCAGATTGGAGCATCAACATGTTTCCAACCAACTTCTGTCATTTTTTATTTAAATTCAGTTCAATTCAAGTTATTTTTATTGTCTTGAGGAGTGAAACAAGTAAAGAGTTAAGTGTAAACTTTTCTTTCAGCAATGCTGGTTTAACCAAACAGGCAACATGGGCAACTATCTGGGGGCCCACAGACCCCCGGGGGCCCCCCGGATTGTTGTCCACGCCCCCCTCCAAAAGACCCAGCTTCATTTCCAGTTGTTCTTGGTACTAATGATGCAGCTCATTGTTTATCTGTCCGACCCAAAACCTTCCTGTTCTGGTTCACTCCCACCACCCTCATGGTGTCATTTTCAGAATAAAAGCTGTAAAACGTGACTGGGGTCTACCTGCTCAGCAGCCAACAGCAGACAGACACAGTTAGAAACTAGCCGGTGAACAAAGCGCAGCATTTAGTAGCGGAAGTGACATTTCCCTCAGGAGATGGTGGAGACCAAAAACAGAGATAAAAGACAGAGAATTGTCTGCATTCATCAGGTGGACAAAAACACGAAGACGCCTAATTAACATTCATCACGTTGCTCTGTATGGATGTGGAAATAAACATCTGTTTGTCAATATATCAGATGGTGGTAATGACAGAAAATCTAAATGTTAGAAAGATGTTACAATTTAGCTTTTTTCTTTGTTGGGATGATTTGGCACATAAAGTGTAATCTGTAATCTCCGACAAGCCTTACTGTCGAGTCCTGGAGTCCATATTTGCTCAGAATTATGGGTAAACTTCTGAACAAAGTCTATAGCCTGCTCTCTGTGAGGACCCTCTCGAAGTCCACATTAAAGATGCTTAAGTGTCCTAAATGGTAACAAGATGTGTCCAAAAGACGTTTTCCTTTTACTACTTTTTGACTAATTTGCTCAGAATTTAAATCGTTTGAAACTAGCAGCTGAACCTCGTCGACACACTGATGCATCCACACGAGTGTGTTTCAGTCACTGCACCATTTGTTTGGCATCCTCCCGTTAAAACAAGCAGACCACACAGATCAGCCCGTCTCTACAGGAAGTTACCGGGACATCGCGAAGGTCGTGTCCACGCTTCTCGTTATTTCAGACGCCGCAGGCCGCGTTTGTTTGACTCTGAGAGCAGACACGTAATCACGTTTGTGATAAAACAGTTAGACAATGTTGGTTTTACCCCACATGCTGCGACGTCGTTCTCTGAAATCCTTTTTTTCATTGAACACAAGAAGCCAAAGTTGTTCTGTAAACACCAGCAGCTGTACGAGAGCTTTCTCTAAATAAGGTACTGTCTGAAACTGGCAAAATTCAGATTTAAATCAGGAACTATCTGATCAAAAAATAAGTAATATAGAACAGATATTCGATCATCTGTGCTAAAGACACTTTCTGGTCAGTCTTTAAAAAGATACACAAGGAAAGTAAACATTTAATGGGCAGATTGTCATAGAATAGAATCAGCAGAGTCACACTTTGCATAGAGGATGAACCTCTTTTATTTTGAAATTTCATCCTAAATACAGACTACATTTTTCCCCCAAACAACAAAGTATGTTGCTTTGTATTTTCGATGACGATAACAAAAAATAGAATGTCAGACTGATTCTTTCAAGTTCAGGTAAAGGAAACTACTTTAATAGATTTCACGATCGTCTTCATATTTCACGGATGTCGTTTTTCTGTTGAGGACAGTAATCAGTACGTTTGCTTTGTTGTAATTAACTTTTCAGTCATTTTTTTTTTAAAGGTCTGGACATCCAGGTGGGTCGCAGGAGGTTTTATTTGGGTCGCCACATAAATTTGCAGAATTTATATCTGCAGTAGATTTTCAGAATAAAAGGTCTCTCAGCCTCCTTTGCTGGATTTTCCCGCAGTGCGAAGCTCTTATTGGTCGCTGTGAGTCTGCATTCCATAAAGCACCCGCCCCCTCTTTCAAGTGCCTCTAACTACTACCCCCCCCCCCCCCAAAATGAGCGACATCCTGCCGGTCCCCAGTAATTATCAGTGCTATACGTCAACGCTCCTCAAGCTTTCTTATACTTTCAAACTGACGTCAGGTTTGAAAACGCCGCTCAGTTGATTATAGAATAAATCACTGTGGCTCTGCTCAAGTTACTGCTGCTGCTGAAGAGGTTTTTTTTTTAAATTCCTCGACAGGAAGCGGAGCGTCCTCCCTAGAGTTGGCACATCTGGAACGTATGGACGAGAGACATCTGTCCTCCAAAACCAGATGGCAGAGCTCAGTGTGTTTCCACCCCACCGCTGTTCTCACACTGATAAAGATGATCTCAGGGGTCGGACATGTGTGACGTCAGCGACGTCCTGGCAAGTTTCCATCTCGCTGCTGCAGGTCCTCAAACACTGGTTGTATTATTACATGTACAAACCGGTCATTAGCTGCCGAAAATATGCAGCAGAGAAGTCCAATATGTAGACTTCACTTGTAGGGTATTACATGTAACTTTCCCATATTTAAATGTCTAAAAGCAACTAAATCTTTTCAAAATAAACTTCCGTCCTCACAGGAAACAACAAAACTACTTCAGTTAGGTTTAGGAAAAGATCGTTGTTTAGGTTAAAATAACTACAGAAGTGCCGTTACTGAAGTACAAAAGTTACGTGACAAAGAAATCAGCGTTGACTTAACGAACTTAGCGGCCTCCTTGGTGAGAGATCTGTGTTTGTTGGGGCCCTCTCAGCTGCCCAGTTGGAGCCTTTTTGTGGTCTTTATACTTTCTTATTCGTGATTACGTGCATAACGTACGAAAAGATTTCGTGGGATTTTATTATTTTTCGTTACGAAAGCTGGATGATAACAGCCGGCATTATCCCAAATGTTTCCAATCATTTTCAAACTTACAGAAATCCATAAGTCTGTTTCCTTTGACGGCCTGTCAACGGCATCGCATCCCCTTTACGCGTGCGTTAGCGTTGTGGTTTTCTGCCAGAAGCCGTCATTAATTGACTTTTTATCTGATTTTGAGCCACATTTTTACAATCAAATATATTGTTGAAAACAACGAGATCTAAACATATATAAACAGTTTGCGAAATACCATAGACATAAAGGTCTTGGCTCGGCTTCATCTAGTTGCTGTGTTGGTATCAAAGAAGAGGTGAGACAATGTTTTGCTTTAATTTCTCATGAACGACAGGATCAAATTTGTCCAAATGTCTGTTTAATTCCACAAACAGACGTGAAGACTCGCTCGCTTCGAGCAACCTGTGTCATTTATGGCGGACGATCGTCTCGCGCTCTCACTACACTGAATGATGAAAACTGCTGGGCATTAGTACAAAAGACTTCCTGTGATGAAGTGTCCTCGTCTCTGCGGGTGTCTTCTCCAAAGTCAAAAAGCCGCTGGGAGACGGCGGCCTTTCACCCGCATGCTGCTGTCGTTCATGCGTTTCCGTGGAGGAAGTCTCTGCGGTGAAAAGCTCCCCCGAAGAGACGTCTGCGCTTAATCCCTCCAGGCTTTACAGAGGCAGCCGAGCAGGACGGCTTTCCTCTCTGGCTCTTATTTCATCTCCTCTCTCTCTCTCTCGCAGCATCATCACAAACCCACAGATACCTCTTTCATGTTCTTAGAGCGCTGAGGCTCTGACCTCTGACCCCCTCTAAAGATTTACGTTACCTGCATCTCCTCTGCCCAGGTGGAGTCATTTCCTCCTGTTAAAAAGAGTTAGATCATATATTTTAAAATCTGCAGAATATGAAGCTTTGCCCTTTTGTTACTGAAATGCATCTTGGGAGTTGCAGTTATAATATTTCAAAAAATGTAGTTTGAACAAGCAAACATAGAAGTGACATTTCTGTACAATCAAAAACAGCTGCGACTTTAAAGAGCGTGAAGCTATTTCATTTACAGACGTGTTTTTCCTCTGTTCTCACTGATGTCCAGCCATGCAGATAGTTTTGTACACATCTCACCTCTTACATGAAGTTCTCACCTGTTGAAGAAAAATGCAGAACATAAAGACGAGAGGAGGCTTTAGCAGCATGAAGTCTCTGTACTGAACAGCTGTTCTGTCTCTTCCCGTCTGGCCGACAGCAGAATGTACATGTGAGATAAGACGGAGGAGCGTAACATATACAGTTTATGTCTGGAGCTGATGATGAGCCAAACATCAGAAACCAGCTCACACTGGATGGAGATCAACTTCCCTTCTGTCCTCCACCACTGCAGCCACAACATGTGTCTCTTACCTACAGGCCTACATTTAAAACGCCGATGTTTTTACAGAAGACAGGAGAGCATTTATGCTTTTGTTTGTTTACAGTTTCTGTGTGGACTTCACAATAGTTGTGCAGAACAAAATAAGCATTAATAAGAAAAGGAAAGTCCTCCGTTTTGTGTCCACCGTCCTCCTCAAAGCCGCAAACCGTGACTTCAAACGTCCGCTCAGTAGCACTGATAACGCTTTGGACTCTCGCTCGGGCAAGACAAGACATCTGAATACGCCTTGTATTTCAGAGACTAACAAACAAGTTATTCATCAAAATGTCTGGTGAAACAATCGTCTGAGCCATCATTGAGACGTAAAGTGAAGCTGTTTCGTCTCTTACCTCAGAGAGGATACGCCTCATGGTCACAGCTCAATGTTGTTCTGGGCTCAAACAGGAACTGTGGCGTTCGGTGTGAGGCGGATTTGAGTTAATGAGGTTAAAAATATCCTTTCCTTCTGAGTGAATGGGAAGTTATTGTGTTGAATTCCTGTGGGGCCGACAAAGCGAGCCAAGCTGCAGGAGAGTCCAGCATCCGAACGTTTAACTGGAGGTTTAACTGGAGGTCTCGATGTGTTCTGTAAATCAGGACAAACCCAGCCAGCCCCCTGTCTCTGCTCAAACATCTAGATCTAGATTCTTTGTAGCTTCATTCCTTCATGGTCATAGTCAGTACCTGTTCCCAGCAGGTCAACAATCCAGTCTACTATGGAAGAAAAGAAAATCCACCTCCTTTTTTAATATAGTTATCAAAGATAATCTCCTGAACATGAGAACGTTTCTTATTATTTTACCTTAATAAACACACCAGCTGGAGCTAATGGGGAAACATAATCTCATAATTATGACATACTAAACCATAATTATTAGGTCCTCTATGAGAGTATCTCTTTGTTAGGAAATAAAAAATGAATTAGCAGAGAATTCTGCTTAATTATTACATCATACCTCATATTAAAAGTAAGGAAAGTTTCTCGTTGCTAGAAGATACTAAATCATAATTATGTGATATTATTATTTACTTTGTTGTGTTTCTTTTTCCAGTGGTGGAAATGAACTTCCATACAAACATACATGTCATACACAGAAATGATACTGTACTGTTTTCGACCCTCCAACAATAAACCTTCTGTCTTCTCTTCCAGATTAACACCAATGGATTTGTGTCTGTCGAGCCCCCGGCGGAGGGGGAGTACCTGGGGAAGATGCCCGCCAGTTTCAAAATGATTGCAGCCCTGCTGGGAGACCTGGAGGACAGTGACGGACAGGGCAAGGTCCACTACAGGTGGGACAGCAGCCCGGATCTACTGAGTCAAGCCGCGGATCATATCAGGCAAGCTTTCCCCAGAGACGAGGGCGTGGAGCCCACCACCGTCCTCATCGTCACCTGGGAGAACATGGCCACTCGGGGGACGTCTGGACGAGGAGACGGACTGGACACAAAGGTGAGGGGCCATGTTGGGTTTTTAAGAAGAAAACAGAGGATGGTTTGTTTTCTTATCTCAGATCTGGGGTTACACTTTTGCAGATAACTGAGACCCTTTGCTGGAGTAAAAAGTACTAATTCCACTCTGTAAAAATACTCCTTTACAAGTAAACGTCCTGCTTTCAAAACCATACCTGGGGTTAGTAAGTATTAATAGCAAATGGTACTTAAAGTAAAAGTACTCAATGTGCAGTAAAATGTTCCCTGTCAGTGTTTTACTATTTTATATGATGTTTCTGGATTAATGTGTATGTTGCATTTTACTGCTGTAGATGTTTTTAACTCCTTTATATTCTGTTGTCTAGTTTAATCTTCATCAATGCATCATATTCTATAAGATCATCACATCTTTGTAGCGTCTCTGTCTTGTGAGAACCTCGTATCTCTAGAAAGAACAAACAACCTGTTTTCAGGTTTGTTATGAAGCATCTTCCAGCTGATCCAAGAGTTTTTTTTAAAGAGTTTATTAATCTGAAGAAGTAGGAGGATTTTATCAATACATAAAGGAACATTTCATTCTTCAGTTTATCACAATCAGTCAACATCAACACATCTGGAGATCTCGACAGGAAGGAGATGAAAAACTAATTTAACAAGTATCTAAAGCTGTGAGAAAATGTAGTGGAGAAAGAGGTGCAGTGTGGAGATGTAGTTAAGTAGAAATACAAAGTTGCATTTAAGGGAAATACTCAAGTAAAGTACCTTAAATTTGTACTTGAGTGAATAATACTTGAATGACCTGAATGTCCCAAAATGTAAAGGATAATTGATTTTATTCAAAAAAGATTTCTTAAAATGCGTGTGACCACATGCTTTTGATCTTGCAAGTGTCCAAAAAGAAAAGAAATTGGTGGAATATAATGGACTTAGCAGAGGGAACACCATGATGCAGTGCCTGTACGCTTCATTTGTCATTATAACGTACATATCCTACCGGTGGTCTTGCTATCATGTGCCTTCTTTCACCCTCTGACACGGAGCCTTTACCTGTTCAGTTTCCGCCACATCGATTTTCCCAGCTGGTCAATAATCCTCTTGTAACATATGTAGCCGGTGAGAACTCCCAGATTAATTTTCCTCCTGCTGCTAGAGAATCAGAAGAAATGTGGCTCCATGGACTCAAACTAACAGTGTCCGCTTTGTACTTTCAGAGAAACACTTTCCAGCTGGTAGTGGCCTCCATGGTGTCGTCCTCCTGCGCCATCCTCTTGTATCCCCGAAACGGCCTGCAATTTTTCTCCACGTCAGTAGGGGGCAAGAGCAAGCTCCTCGAGGCTGGCTTCAATGAAGGTCTTGTGGAGAGTTGGTTCTGGAAGGCATCGCAGGGGACTTACTTCCGCACCACCACCGATGAAGAGGCCTCCATCAGGGAACTCACTGAGTATGAATCTAACGTCACATGTGCTTGAATATAACTCGACTTTGACGTGCTGACTTTTGAAAAATACCAATTAGTGACAAAAATGTCTTTTCATTGAGACTGATTTTTCTTCCCTCCTTTATCCAACTAGAAAGACGAACGCGGGACAGAATGGAGTTTGGGTGTACGAGATTGGCTCCTCGCCAATCTTTGTCGCCATTACACCAGGAATGGTCACTAGCCTACCTGAAGAGGAGGAGGATGCCACCACACCTCCTTTACCAGAAGAAAAAGAGGAGTTTCCAACTGAGACTCCTACCGAGTACCAACCCAGTTACCCAGAATTTGAGACCATCACTCCAGGGTACACCGAACCGGAGACTGAAGATTATGAAGGACCTGGCCAGTTTGAGCCGGAATACCCTGAATCTGAGACTGTCACACCAACATACACCGACCCGGAGAGGGCTCAACCAAGATACCCGGACCCTTCTGAGCCGAGATACCCTGACCGAACCGAGACCAGATACCCTGTCTCTGAGCCTTTGCAACCAAGACATGCAGTCCCTGAAACCAATGAGCCTAGATACTCTCCAGTCGAGCCGAGGTACCCTGATCCAGTCCAACCAGTGCCGCCCTATTCCCAGCCCCAGCAACCCCAGATCGTTGTGGTAGACGAAGACGAAGATCTCGACGTGACCGGTAAAAAGCTTGAACCTTTTGTTCTCGACCATTCAGAGAAATGTAAATCCTGTCATAATCCTGTCAAAGGTCTTTTTTCATTGAACCCGATTGGTTTGTCCTTTGGTTGTCTTCACAGTTTTTGCGTACAATTCGGAGACGTGCGCCCACAACAGGCACAAATGCTCGGCTTTTGCTGACTGTCAGGATTACAGCAATGGGTACTGCTGCCATTGTAGGCCTGGCTTCTATGGTAACGGGAAGGACTGTGTTGCTGAGGGTGAGAAGCATTTTCAGTGTAATTCAAACTGTTTAGGTTAATGGTGCACGTTTTCTTGGATTATTATGAAGAGACTACAAAGATCCAAAGATGGATCATATCAGTCAAGCACTTTCTTGGGGTTATCCGTACATATTCTAAGCAACACTAGAATTTGCTAACTACTTTGTGGTCAAAATTTTTTGTTTGTCTGAGGGGTCACTTCCTCCCAACAGTAACCTATTGAGACGCTGATCCTTAACAGGAACTACTGCTCTACTGATCAAATCTTTGTTGTTTTCCAGGAAAACCACAGAGAATGAATGGAAAGGTGAACGGTCGAGTGTTCGTGGGGAACTCTCCTTCCGCTGTTGAGCTCGGTAACAATGACTTGCACTCGTACGTGGTAGCCAACGATGGACGGGCCTCCGTGGCCATCAGCAACATCCCGGACGATCTGGGACCCTCCCTGCTGCCGCTGACCCCTCTGGGTGGAGTCATCGGCTGGGCCTTCGCTCTGGAGCAGCCCGGCTACCAGAACGGCTTCAGTCTCATCGGTGAGGGAACGTATTGTTGTGTAATGTGCAGCCTGGAGCTGGATGATTGATTTCTAATCATTAGCATTGCTGGCTACGATGTATGTAGATGTTGAAACGTTTTAGCTTAAAAGTTGTGTGACCATGGATCCCAATGTCCCTGGCTGGAGTCCGCCCAGAGACCTTTGTTTCCGGTCCGTGGATGTGCAAGACTCGGACGCTTCTTACACTTGCATGTTCTCTCACACATCCACGCAGGCGGCGTGTTTTCCCGGCAGGCCGATGTGATCTTCCAGCCCGGTAACGAGCGTCTGAGCATCAAGCAGCAGTTTAAAGGAATCGACGAACACCACCACCTGGTGGTGAACACCGAGCTGGAGGGACGTGTGCCCGCGGTCCTGTTGGGATCCTCCGTCGAGATCAACCCATACAAGGAGATCTACCAGTACGACAGGAACTGTAAGGACAAAGGACCGTTTTTTTAAGAATTATTCAATGGATTATTTACACAACTGAAAACAATAATTTATAGTCCCACTAGATGTAAAAGTGTGTTCTTCTTCTCCTCTCAGTGATCACTTCCTCCTCCAACCGTGACTACACCGTCACCTCCCCTGATGGCAACGTCCAGACCAGAAGCTACCAATTGCGACAGACCATCAGCTTCCTGAGCTGCCCACACGACGAGGCCTCCGTGGCGGCGCCTTCCACCCAGCAGCTCAGCGTGGACCACATCTTCGTGATGTTCGAGACCCGCAACCATCTGATCCGCTACGCCATGAGCAACAAGATCGGCTCGGTCCACAGTGAGTTCTGACACTTCAAGAGGTTCCGTTTATCAGCACCGAGAAAAAAACAGATAAGATGTTTGAACAAAGTCTTCGTCTGGAAGTGTGTGTGTCCACAGACAGAAGTGTGTATTCACAGATCAGGACAGAGCAGGTTTGACTCCATGCCGTCAGATGGTTCAGTAACTTGAAGAAGAGACGTCCGTGTCTAGTGGTCATCTGTTGGGGACAGTCAAGAGTTCAAAGATGTGTGTTATTACCCGGAGGAATGCGCCGAAACACGCCTCCAACAGTTTAGTGCCTCTGCGATGTTTGCAGTTGAACATCAGAGGAAAGACAAACAGTAATCTGAGCCTGGCTGTATTTCCTCAGCTGCAATGAGAGGAGGCTGTGAGAGTGTTGGCAGGGGGTGAAGGTCAGTGAGAAACCAAACCTCCAGTCCACAGAGTGAAGGGAGCGGGTGAAGGGCATCGAAAGGGTCTTTTTTTTTTTTTATAAAAAGGAGGGTTAAAGCTAAAAGTGCAGGTGGGGGCTGTTGATGGGATGCTTGTGGGGGGGGGGGTTTCAGAGTTACACAAGCAAACACAACTCAGCCGGGGGTTTGTTGGCAAAAAGTGGAACATCTGCGTCGTGTTTCCTGTGAGGAGGTGAAGGTCTGGAGCTCCAGCACTCAGTTGCATGATGGGAGGACACAGACTCTGTGGCTTCTCTACTGTGGAGTCTTTGTTCTCTCCTTCAGTTAATCTATGAACTATTTAAGTCATTTATTTAGCAAAACATGCTCTGCTTATCATGATGCGAGTATGTGCTGCTGCTCTCTGCTTTATATCACTGTGGACTGACTATCTTGAGTTTTGGACTCTTGGTCAGAAGAAAAATATACATTTTAATACATTCGAAGGATAAAATAACTAGTTTATTGATCATAAAAGGGATTAAAAAGGTATTCATTGATATTTAAAAATGCTTAATATGCTCGGTCGTCTGACCTAAGTCAGCAGCGGTGGCCTTAAGGTTAGAGAAACGGATTAAACTCTTAATGTCACAGAGAGCCAAAGTCCTCACTTCTTGTTAGCTTTAGTTGTTGTTGTTCCGGCTGTTTTTACTGTTCATGTTCTCTTGTGATGCCACATTGGATGTTTCTCACTGTTGATTTTAACCCGCAGCATGTTTTAAATTTTTTACATTTATTTGTAGGCAGTCTTCCAGAGCAGAACCCGTGTTTCACCGGCAGACACGGCTGTGACATCAACGCCGTGTGCCGACCAGCCGAAGGCCTCCAGTTCAGCTGCGAATGTGCTACTAGTTTCACCGGAGACGGACGCTACTGCCACGGTAACAGAACCGCTGCAAACCTGCATATTGACAACACACGATAGGTTTTCAGTGTTGTGAGTTGTTGAATAATTACTTTCTGTCTCAAACATTTGTTACATTTTTCTCAAGAAACACCTGCAGTTACGGTCCAACTTGCGCCACCTACAGGCAAAATAAGTCACAGCTGCAGCAGACTTGATTACTCGCTACTTTCTTTTAAGGAACTATACATTCTACTTGCTGTACATGTCTTTCACCTCCCTGTTGGTGTGTTATTGGCAGATATTGATGAGTGCAGAGAGACTCCTGAGATCTGTGGATCCAACGCCGTCTGCAATAATCAGCCCGGAACTTTCCGCTGTGAGTGTTTGACCGGCTTCTTCTTCGCCAGCGACGGAAAGACCTGCATCGGTATGTTTTAAGTGTGTGTGTTGACAGCTGTGTGGGATTGGCGGAGTGTGTAGTGCCTTTGTGTGTGTGTGACTTTGTTTGAAGAGTTCCTCGTTGCACATACAGATGTTCTTAAAACAATAAAGGATTTGTACGACTGAAAATGGGACAAAATGTTTCAAACTGATGTTCTTTGCTGAACACAGAAGATGTGATTCATACAAACCTGAACCGGAATGACTCTGTGAAGCAGGATAAATCTGCGGGGATCAGTTCGATGAATTATAAGTTGTTGTGTACGGTGGCCCGTAAGTGGGGGGGAAAAAAAGTATCTGTAGTCCACTGATAAAAGAAAACGGTATTTTAAATGAGCTGAAGGATGAAGTGAAGCTTTCTCAGTCAGACGGCAGTTATTCCTTATGTTACACCCGACTCATGTCGTCCCTTTTAACTTTGCTAACATGTCGTCTGTGTCGTCCTGCAGAGGAGAACCGGCCGGTGGATCACTGTCGGAGAGGAAGCCATGACTGTGATGCTCCTGAAAGAGCTCTCTGCAGCTACACCGGAGGCTCGGCCTTCGTCTGCTCCTGCCTGCCGGGGTTCGTGGGTGACGGTCGGGTTTGTCAGGGTGAGTACACCGAGTCTGCAGACATCAGGCCGACCGCTGATCTTCAGGGTTATGACTTCAGTATCAACTCGGATGCATTAAAAAGCATTGATAAAGTCAGTGCTGAAGGTCAAGCAGCAGAACAAACAAAACATTTGATTTGTTTCGCTTGAAGGATTCTTTGAAAGTTTAGCTTTGTCTTCATCTGATATGAATGTGAATCATGTGAGCTCAGTAAACTTTCCCCAGATAAATACTTAAAAGTACACGTGTCATGGAGGGAGATTAAAAAGATGTTGTGTGGACAAAGTAGAAAGACTTCTTCTTTTATTATGACTATTTCAAACGTAAATAATACATTTGGTGTTTGAACTATGCAGATTTTCTTTCAATCTCTGTTCAAATAGTTTAAAAGGAAAGAAGAAAAGCATCAATGCAACATCGACGGTAGTGTACATGCCATAACAGCAGAACTTTCTGTTCAGCGCCGTGGGCCCCTTGGACAGGAAATGTTTCCACCTGGACAGGAAATGCAGAACACTGCCTTACAGCTGTGCAGCTCATCTCTTATATATATAAATCTCCCTCACTCAGGAGACTCTGAGCTGAAGAATGTTCATATGTGGAGAGAAAACAGGACAAACGCATCCAGAACTTCTATTTTTTCTTAACATGTACTTTACAAATTCTTGTACAGCCTCAGAGAGCTGCTAGCGTGGCTTTAGACTCTTCTACATGTTCAAGTTCTTTATTTCTTACGGTCATAAACTATCACAGTGGAGCAGTCTCCCTCGAACAATACTACTACAAATATGTGTAAAAAGAAAAAACATGCAGGTTAAAATAAGAAGACATAAAACACAAAAGTGTGCAGAATTTAAAATATAGAAATTAATAGAATAAACAAACGGAGGTGTGTTCAGGTATAAACAGGTAGTTCTCTTGTAGTTAGTTAGTGTACTTTGTCTCTAACGTAATATTGGATAAAAAAATGTAAAATGAGGTTTGTTGTATACATTTCAGTATTTGAATCCATGTTTTTTTATTATTAATGGCTAATGGAGATATTGTTTTATTTATTGTTGTATAAGTGTTGACGCTGAAAATAATTTGAACAAAACGCCTCCATAACAACTGAACGTGAACTTTATCCGTTGTTATTGTTGAGACTGAGATGTTGCGGAAACATGATAGACATTAGTGTTTATTTAAAAAAAGGTAAAGTCTCAACCGCTCAGTACTTTAAAAGGGATATTTTAAGTGGATGTCTATGAAGATTTTTTTTGGAGCCAGCCCCTGGTGGCCGTTAGTGGAACTGTACCTTAAAGCACCAAACATGGCAGTTGATGTGTTGGGACATTACCTTCATCTTTGTATCTTCTCTCTGCCCGTTCAGACGTAGACGAGTGTCAGCAGGATCGATGCCACCGCGCTGCCTACTGCTCCAACACGCAGGGCTCCTACACCTGCCAGTGCCATCCCGGGTTCTATGGCGACGGCTTCCAGTGCAGCCCCATGTCCTCAGGTGGGTGACTTATTACACAAACTGTTTAAATTCAAGTTTATATAAATGTGATTTCTTCTGTCGGATTAGGTTAATATTCCTAGAAATGAAGAGGGGTGTAAATCACAAGTTTTCATCACGATACGATATTATATTGATCCTTTGGATGTCAATTCGATATTTGCTGATATCACAAAGTCTGCCATGGTCAGGAAGCCAATGCCGAGGTGCTTTAAACCTGCATTCTCTCTAATATCCATCAAAAAGAAGTGTGATTGTATAGAAGTCTATGAGAAAATGGCTCTACTTCTCTCTTGATTTATTACCTCAGTAAACATGAGTTTATGGTCTCAATCTCTAGTTTCAAGTCTTCTTCAATACAGCATGATGTTCATTTGTGGGTAATATGAGATAATATCAAATGCCAATTTAACATAATCAGTTACAAACTCCTAAATTTTATTACTGGGCTCTGTAGGTAGGAAGTGTGCATGGACGGCAATGGTGACACAGAGATGCCATGGGAATTTCAAAATAAAGGCACATCTTAAAGATGATATTTATCGATATTAGCACTTTACTTCGATGATATTGCATCATTGAATCGATCCAAATCGATGTCTTGTTACATTCCTCAAAATTAACTAACGGTGATATCAGCAGGAATGTAAATTAAAACTTAATATGAGATTTTCATAAAAGTACCACAATAACAACACATTGAAAATACAACCACAAAGTGTACTTTAAGTATTTAAAGTAAAAGTATTCATTACGCATTAAATGTTCCCTGTCAGTCTTTAATTATAACAGTACAAGTACCTCAAATTAGTACAGTGCTTAAGGAAATGTACTTAGTTACATTCCATCAGCTTTTAATGGGTTAAAGCCTGTAAAAATCAGTCTCCTGATTGACAAAGAGCTGTAATAACAGAAATGTTTCGGGTGTGTTGGTGTGGGCGGCTGCTCCTACAGACTGAAGCTGGTTTTCCAGACATTACAGAGACTAATGGAAGCTGTGTAAACTCTGCAGAGTGTAAACATTCAGCTGAAGGTTGAGGCGACGGAGCAGAGCGGTGAAGGATGTTGATGAAGTGATGAGAGCGTAAACAGATTTCACGTCAGACTCAACAGACCCTTGATGACACACAGCTGAGGTCCGTGATCGAGGCGCCGTTAACGCTGCGACTTCAGATCGGTTCAGGGTCATAAAATAATGAGAGCTGATAGACTGATGCCTCTTTTTATTTATGAGTTTTGTTATTCAGTGTGTCTCGTCCTGATCTCCGTGTCTCTGGTCAGCAGTGCTTATCACGCAGACACCTGATTGGCCGACAGCATTACGTTACATTTAATTAGCTGGTGCTTTTATCCAAAGCGACTTACAATAAGTGCATTCACCAATGAGGATGCAACCCAAAACTTGCGAGCAGGTGTAGTTTACAGTGGAAGGGTTGTTGTTGTTGTTGTTGGTGGTGGTGGTGGTGGTGGTGGTGGTGGTGGTGGTTTGGCTTCGTTCCAAAGCTGCAGACTCCTCCAGTGCTTCCAGGTGTCAGCAGCTGAGAGCTAATTACAGCTCACTCCTCTGCACCAAAGTTTTCTCATATTTTCGTCCTTTTTTTATGGCCTCTGAAAGACACAACTCTTTTGTCCTCTGTCATAACTTGTCACACTGTCTCTTACTTTACGCTCACTGACTGTAAGCGGCTCCGTTTCCTTTTTTCAGGACGGTCTTTTGATCTTCGCCCCTTTCTCTCTCTCTCTCTCTATCGGGGGTCTTCTTTCTTCTTGCGGTATCTCTTTTCGTCTGGTTGTTGTTATCAGACGTGGCGCTGTCTGTCAGACGGGGAGTGTTATGGCTGCTCTGCGGTTCTCCGGATACCCTTGAGGATAAGAGCGAGGCGGCTCTCTTCCAGATGTCACTGTGGCCCCTGGATGTGACCGCGGAGATGAAGAGCCTCCTGCTCGTCTTTAAATCGTGGTTCTCTCCACGGCTCACTCGCATGTTTATCTGCAACTGCCACGTACAGAAACCGAGCATGAAAATTCAGTTAAATAACATTACACCTGTGAGGATATATGTTTATATTTATATAAGCTCTTTTCTTTGTTGGGTTGTATAGAATGTTCTGTGATTTTGTCTGCTGTGAAAAGAGAAGAAACAATAAGGAAGATAAAGAAGTATTATATGATACTAGAGCAGGAACTTCATCTAATTTGAATAATGAATCAGGCCAGAAGTCTGATTATGAGACAGAATTTCCAAGTTATCATAATTATGAGTTTCTGTCGTAATTCATGTCAAGATCCAAGTTGTCATTTCAACAAGTAAACTAATAACAATATAATATATACTATTTGACTTGGCACTAAATAATGTGCAAATTAAACCTAAAATGTGATATAGTGGTGAAACGATCATTTAGTCAATGAGTCGATCGTCGGACACAAGACATTTGAAAACGTCACTTTGGACTTTTATAACCAAAAGTTATAAAAAATAAATAAATGGAACTACTTAAAACTAATCAAATAAAAAAGAATAGGCTGTTTGTGTATTTTTGGACGGAACCAACTCTCACTCTCAATAGTATTTCAGTGAGAACTGTGTAACTGTGATATTTAAACGTATTTAAAATATATATTGAAAAGTATTTGTTCTGTATGTTTTTGTCTCACTGTGCCGTATTTCTTTCTTTGTTCCCAGAGCGCGAGAAGACCCCGTGTGAGCGTCACAGAGAGAGCGCCCAGTCGGCCACCTCCGACTCCGTCCTCCTCTCTTTCCTCCGTCCTCGGCCGGCCGTCGGTCAGTACGTCCCTCAGTGTGACCAACGCGGAGCCTTCGAGCCCACGCAGTGCCACAGCAGCATCGGACAGTGCTGGTGCGTGGACGCCAACGGCCAGGAGATCCCCAACACCCGCACGGGACCCGGCACCACCCCTCTGTGTGAGTCCACTTTATCCTCTAAACAAGCTTCAGCCTCTATTCTGTTTATTTCAGGAACACATGAATGTTTGCGCTCATTAAACTAAACATCTGCCTCCCCCGGACAATGAACTCGCAGGCATCGACCAGGCAGTGACTCCCGCTCCGGTGGGTCCGACCCCGCGGCCCGACGTTGGCCCCGTCGCTCCGGGAACACACCTGCTGTTCGCTCAGAGCGGGAAGATCGAACACGTGCCTCTGGATGGGTACAACATACAGAAGGAGGAGGCCAAACCTCTGCTGCACCTCCCAGTAAGGCCATCACTGTTTCAGGCAGTAACGTAAACATGGCTGCCAATAATCTTCCAAAATATATCACCAGGTTTTAGATAGATTTTCTTCCTACCAGGCAGCCATTGATATCAGGTAACTTCAATGAAAGTCTGACCTTCTTTAGACCGACAACACATCACAGTCAACACGGTGACGTCTGACATCCGAGGCTGCAGAGTTTTTGCATTAATGAGCCGTTTTTACAGAAAGTTAAACCTGGAAAATGACAAGAACGAAGTTTTTGTGTAAACCACAAATGCAAATCAGTTTCTGATTTATTGATTCCAGTTATTTATCAAATCCTGGATCACATTCTTACATTATTTGTGTAAGAAAAATGGCTTCATCAGTGTGATTTGTTCTGAACTGAGCTAAATGCTTACCGCTCACATTGAGAATGCAAACCAGTTGATGTTTAGCAGGTATAATGTTTACCATCCTGGACCTCTCCCTAGCTGAATGCACAGAGATGTAGCTAATATCCTTATGTAATATCTTTCCAAAATGTTGGACTCTTCTAATCCTCATCAAAGGATAATTCCACAAAAAAAACATGTTTGAAAAGTGTGAATGATTCCGAGTAAATGCTGAGAGAATGAGCTCCTTGTAGAAGTGAAAAAAAGGGATTTCTTGACTTTGGAGAGTTTTTCTCATGACGACATGCGGTCCTCATTTTGACCAACGTACACACACATGAATGAGCGTTCCTGGTTGCTGTGGAACAATCCTCTAATTGTTCTTTAACATACTTCAGCATCAGAACTCTTTTCTTCTCCGTCACGGAGCCCATAAATTAATGTATTGATGCACTGCAGCCGAACACAAAGCTTCTCCGTCAGTGCGGGCGCCTTCGAGTCCGATGGGTCGCTGACGTTCTGTCACTTCTACACAAAAGACTCTTTGAAAGTGAAAGTCCAGCTGAATGAAACCGTCTGTCTCCTCCTGCGCTTCCTCTCAGGACCGGGTGGTGATCGCCGTGGCCTACGACTGTGTAGAGAAGATGGTTTACTGGACCGACATCACCGGGCCGGCTATCAGCAGGGCCCGTCTGAGCGGAGGAGACGTCATCCCGGTCATCACTACAGGTGCAGCAGACATCACCGGTCCAGTCATCTTTTAGAGAGGCTGAGTGACATGATACAAGTGCATCACACTCCTTATCCCTCACGTTTTGAGTCTCATTGCACCAAGCAGAGTCCTTATAATGAGGCCAAACAGGAAGTAGATTGTTTTTTGTCCAGGACACAGGTGTTTGCCTCCCATAAACCTGTAATTAATGTACACCTTTTACTTTCATTTCATTTTTTATGATCACACAGATGCAAATAGGGCAAGAAAACTTCATTTATGTATTTATTTTCAAAACAGAAGTTACAAAGTGTTGAGACATCCTGCTCTGGACCAAAGTGAAAGAGGTTTGGAGAGCGTCCACAGTTTGAAGAATGTAGATCTTAGGTTTTATCTGTAGGTTTTGTTTTAATTGATAATACCTACTCAGAGCTTGGTAACCAGCTGATACAATGTAGATACAAGTGGCCCAGGTGTACTCGGATAAAGATGCAGCTTTTGTGATTAAAAAGTATCGCTATAATAATGTTATTAATAATTAAAAACTTAATTTATACAACACTTAAAAGAAAGTTACAAAGTCCTTTCCATGGTTGAATCGGGTACAAAATCATTTCAGGACTGCAATGAAATAAAATCAGACAATTACAACAATATTAATTATCAACATGGAAATAAAATACCCAAAATTTATATAAAAAGACAAACAAAACAATGGCGTTAAATAGATGAGACATATTGGATATAAAATGATAAAGGAAAAAGTTTTGTGGGGTGATTTTAAAAGATGGCACTGATTCTGCCAGTTAACGGCTTCATTCTAAAAGGTTAAATCAAAAGTCCAGTCAGTCCGCCTGTGACGGTCAGATGGTGCTGATCCATCAGCTCGTCCTCTGACGGACGTCTGTTCCTGTCGTCCTCAGACGTCCAGAGTCCCGAGGGCATCGCCATCGACCACGTGGCCCGCCTCCTCTTCTGGACCGACTCCATGCGGGACACCGTGGAGGTTTCCAAACTGGACGGCAGCCAGCGGCGAGTCCTGTTCGACACCGATCTGATCAACCCTCGACCCATCGTCACCAACCCGGCCTACGGGTGAGTGCTGGAGAAATGACTAGAAGAAACCTGTTAATGTTGTGATTGAAATACTAGTTTCATAAGTAACATGAAGTCATTAAGTTGGTAGTAAAATGCTGGTTGAACCCAGAATACCAGTAGTAACAGTGGTAGTAATGATATGAGCTAGTAGTAGTAGTTGTAGTTGGTAGTTGTTGATGGTGGTACAAGTAGTTAGTAGGTAGGAGGTGGTAGTAGTAGATGTTAGTAGTCGTTAGTGGTAGTAGTAGTCGTCAGTATTAGAAGTAAATGGTAAGTGGTAGTAGTTGTAGAAGGGAAACGAGTACTATCAGTAGTAGTTGGGTCTGACTGGTTTTGTCCTGTTGGTGCAGGCGACTGTACTGGGCAGACTGGAACAGAGACGGGCCCAAAATTGAGATGTCCAACATGGACGGGACAGATCGAAGCGTCCTGGTGAAAGACAACCTGGAGCTCCCCAACGGTCTGACCTTTGACCTCGAAGACCAGCAGCTGTGCTGGGCTGACGCAGGTGAGACTCGCCTGAC